TCTTTTTGTGATGTGAGCTTTTTTATAGCCGGCTAAAAGTTACTATTTGTTCAGAAATTAAATAAATTTGTGCTACATGTTTTATTTAATCGATCAGCCGCTGCCGATTTGGGCAAAGAGTTAAGTAGCGAACGAGATTAAGCGTTCCATAAGTGTCAACGAACACGGGATAATATTAAAACGAACGAAGACCGTTTTCACACCTGAAAACGTTTTAAACCATGCATATATAAAGAGTGTTTTTTTTTTTTTCATTCTTACACATTTGTTAAAAAGAACGTGAAAGCTACACTAACGCTGTTTGTGCAGGTGAGTTATACAGCCAGGCGGACATTGTGTGAGTGGCTAATCTTTGCGATAAGTCGGCTAATTAATTAAAATTCGGTAATTAACTTTTTAATTAGTAAAATAGACATATAGTTCTAACTAGAAACTTGCTCAGCATCACCGAAAACTTCTTAATAAACTATTTTTAGCAGGATATCACGCCGGGGCAGCATTGTACGGCTTTCTGTAAAAACGCTTCATTTGAGCGGCGTTTCTAGATTTCGGTTTCTTATCGGAGCGCATCTTTGCGCCCGCGGTCCTGCTCCCCGGTGGTCGCGGCGCGAAGCCACCCCCTGCCTCCCTTGTAGAATGGAGGGAAGTAGGGCGCACGTGTGTTGCGCGTCTCAGCCACTGGGGAGCAGGACCGCGGCCGCGGTGATGCGCTCCGATAAGAATCCAAATGGAACGCTTTTACAGAACGCCGTAAAATGTTTCCTCGGCGTCATATCCTTCCAAAAATAGTTGCTTTAGTGGTTTTCGGTGATGTTCTACAAGTTTTTAATTGAAACCATATCTTTATTTTCAGTAATTAAAAAGTTAAATAACGAATTTTAATTAATTAGCCGACTTTCACGGTTTTTTTAACAAATGTTTAAGAATAAAAAAAACACCCCGTATATATATATATATATATATATATATATCAGTTTTAGACCACGCTTGGAGTTCGACTGGGTTTATGCTTCTAAAGCGAAAAACGAGTCCTCCAGTGAAAACAAAAACAGATACTTATTTATTTATTTATTTATTTAAAAGTTCCCTCAGGGCCCGAAGGCATTACAGAGGAGAGCGGGTTACATCAATAGAATTCAACAACATACAATAAATAACAACCTATGAATGCAAAATAATATATGTACATATTAGTGAAACGCTGAAATGTGAACATTGTTAAGGCAATTTTTGAAAGCAACGCTGTCAGATATTGATACCACAGACGCTGGAAGGTGGTTCCACTACACTGTAGTTCGGGGTATGAATGAATTGTGAAAAGTAGTGTTACATGAAGGTACGCCCATCTTGTGTCGGTGATCAAGACGCTGTGATATGTAAAAAGGAGATGCTAATAACTTGTCACGCAAAGTATGATTGCGGCGGTAGTAGATTTTGTGAAACAGGCACAAACAGAAAACTTCTCTACGCGATGCAGATTAGGCAGGTTCAAACTTGATTTCATGGATGTTACGCTGGCAGTGCGGTGATAATTAGTAAGTATGAATCGGGCGGATCTATTTCGAATTGCTGCAACTGCAGATGTTAATACGTCAGTACCGAAGTCCCAAATTGAAGAGGCATATTCTAGTTTGGTGCGAACAAGCGTTTTGTAAAGAAGTAGATTACGTGATAAGGGGGCTGCTGAAAAATTTCGTTTTATGAAACCCAGCATACGCGACTGGCGTTGCTTGTTACGTATTGAATATGAGTTTCCCAGGACAGATTGGATGAAATATGAACTTCCAAATATTTGTACGTTGTTACTTGTTGTAAAGGAGTGTGGTTCAGGTAATAACAAGAGACATCACTGTGAAGCCGAGAAACCCTCATTACCTTACATCTGTTAGTGTTAAGCTGCATCCGCCATAAGTCACACCATTCAGATACACGGTCAAGGTCACACTGAAGAGAAGAAACATCGGATTTGTTAGTCACTTCACGATATATAACACAGTCGTCAGCAAACAAGCTAATTGAAAATGAAACACAGGAGGGTAAGTCATTGACATATATAAGGAAAAGAAGAGGACCCAGTACAGACCCCTGCGGCAACCCGGACGTCACAGAAGCTGAAGGAGAAGACGCGTCATTCGCAAATACAAACTGAGACCGGTTAGTTAGGAAGGCGTGAATCCAAGATAATGTACCGGAATCAATACTGAGTTTGCTTAGTTTATGAAGTAGTAGACTATGTGATACCTTATCAAATGCTTTAGCGAAATCGAGGAATATGCAGTCAGCTTGGGAACTTCGATCAAGAATAAGGTGAAGGTCGTTAGTGAAGGTTAGTAGCTGGGTTTCACGCAAAAATGACTTACGAAAACCGTGTTGGGCGGGAGAAAAGAAGTTGTTAGACTCCAAGAAGTTTAGTAAATGTGAAAAAATGACGTGCTCAAGAATTTTGCATGGGATGCTTGTTAGCGATATGGGGCGGTAATTAGAAGGAGAATGTTGATCACCCGTTTTGTGTACCGGCACCACCTTTCCCACCTTCCAGTCGTCCGGCAAACACCCGCAATTAAGAGACTGATTAAATAGTTTAGAAAGTATTATAGAAGAGTATTCTTTGGTACTTTTTAGGAATTTTGAATTAATAGCATCTACTCCCGCAGAACACGATATTTTTAAATTATCGATTACTTTAACAATTCCACAAGCATCAATAGCGATCGGGTACATAGGAACAAATCCAGTATGTTGAAATGGAGGTAAAGATGACACGTTAACGTCTGAAAATGAAGCGACCATGAGGTAAAGCTTGAAGTTGAACTTGGGCATTCTCGAGCTCGAAATTATTTTCGTATAAAATTGGCATTTTCTTTTAACATCTGTGGGAACTAAGCGAGCCCTTAGTAGGTTGGAAATACTTTTCATCCACATTGCAGTGCAGTTCTTTTTTAGATATATTGCACGCCTTCGAAGCAACGTCACAAAAACCTTTAAATTCGTTCTATATGTATCCAAATATCGCCGAAAGGTCAGCATCTTCTAATTTCATGTTGCCGTTGGTACCTTTTTCGCGGTCACTTCAAGACGTCACTTGGAATGAAATGATGATCTTTTATCTGATGATATGAAGGAGAAAACATTTTGCTCGCCCTAGTAAATGGTGCTGGGAGATCAATGTACAGTTGAAAAGCTCGTACCCACAGCGCCTTCAACGTTTTGAAATATCGCCCAACTGAAACACTGCGGAAGACATATGTCATCTTTGAAAAATAGGGGGGATCGGTGGCCGAGTGGTCTAGCGCACACCAGCTCGGAGCACGTGGAGCGAAAGCTCGCGCTGCAGAACCCAGACATCCTGGGTTCGAGCCCCACCCCTGCCCGTTTCGATCTGGATGAGCATCGTACCGGCGTGCGGTCGTGTATCACTACTGCGTGGTGCACGTTAAAGACCCCAGGCTAGCGGCTGTACCGCACTGGCTAAATTTCTCATCTACAGCTGGGAGACTCGTCGCCCCTGTGAGGCAGACCAAGTTCTAGGCTGTATAAACACACACACAACCCAATTTTTTTGAAAAATAGGGAACAGTGTCGCCAATGTCGGGCTCAACTTGTTCGAAACAAAATCTAGCTTGATAACGAAGCTTCAATGTCACATTCGGTGTACCTTCTACCATTCTGAAGCACGAAAAAAAGAAGTCTTTTTTTTTCTTTTTAGCTTTGCTTGGGGGTCACTGATTTCTCGATTTCTAGCCATCCTTAGCGAAGGCAACGCCAAGCGAAGAGAGAAGGGGCGAGTACAAGAAGAAGGCATGACGGGAGAGGAGGATGAGGGGGCACACAACAGCGGATGGATGGATGGATGGATGGATCTGGCTAAACCCTGTGAATCGGGCGGTGGCTTGCGCCACCTAGCCAACATTATAAATCTAATTATATGTTTTGAATTCCAAGATTAAATCTCACCCCTGCCTCGATTTTAGCCACCAGTCTGATAACCTCCGCTTGGTTATTTCTACCCGTGTAAAGTCTATTTTTCCTTCACTGTCTTTAAAACCCAATGCTTTGATTAGCGCGTGCGTGAACAGCCTACACTCTGGTGAAGGAAAAACATTTTATTTTTTTTCTACGGGAGTCTCCACAGATCCAACAAAAGAAGAATTAGAGACGCCGTGATCACGCACGCCACGCAAGCTGTCTGTCAAGCTCCAGGCTTGTTTCTGGACATTTTAGAGATTGTATCTTTTAAAAGTAACATTAAACTCTGTAATTCTGTAAAAAAAAAAATGTTTTTAAACAAGTTATACACGTTCTTTAAAATAAATTAAGAGTTATCAATTAACATAGAAGCGAACTTCGAAGCGTCTGCTCGAATCACACTTGCTACGTCACTAGTAGAGCGCCCGCGTGGTGGACACTCGCCCCGAGTGATAAGTTTACTGGAAATTTGTCTTTGTATTCCGTGTTGATTCAAGCGATCAGTAGTGAGTGAGCACCGTTTCGTGCGCTTTGAAAAAATATAATCTGCCGGAAATATATTTTCGACTGAAGACGCCCGCCACCTTTCCCCTCGTTGTGTTGGAAACAAATTGTTTCATTGTCATAATTTCGATAATAGAATAAAACCCTTGCGCCACATTAGCTCCTCAACGCTGCCCCTCACGCTCGTTATGAACAAAATTTATACGATGCATGCGCAAAAGCGGCGGCGGAGTATCGAGTGTTGTTATCGGAGTCATCGAGACGATCCAATCGTCTGCTAATACCTAAAAATGAGTCGAGTTCATAGCCTTCGCAATATGGAAGTTACTTCAAAAGCACACACCTCTTTCACGCGACAAAATGAGCATTCAAATATGCCGCCGCCGCCTCTAAATAGCGTGGAGATATGAATAAATGCTCCTGAACCCTGCGAATTGGGCTGCATCGTGCGCCACCTAGCCAATTATGCCAGCTTTCTCGTGTGTCTATTGAGTCACACAGCTGCAGTTTAAAAAAGGTTGAAGGAGTCCAAGGAGTCCAAGTAAGTTCAGCAAAACATTCTCCACTTCGCCTGCCTAAAGTTAATTTCGATTGTTCTTAAACGTCTTGTCTTTTAAACGTCCTATTCTTTGAGCGTCACACGTGACGTTGAAATCAAAACTTCTCCTTCACTTCCTGTTTTCTGCTTCTCGCGTGCAAGGACGCAAGGCATGCTGCGTACTCACGAGGAGTGTGCAGGAAAACATCGCGTACTTCATTCAAAAGGTACTCCGTTCGTACTCTAATTTCAGGCCCCAATTAGGACAGAGGAAACTCCGAGTACTTTCCGACGACAAAGAAATGTCTCATTTGCTGAAACACGCCTTCAAGGGCGGCAGGGGGGCCGCGATATTAGTGCGGCAGCGCGGTCGAATTCTCGTGTTCTGCCGCCACGCTTCGCAAGGTTCTCACATGGACGTCCCCATCACCGAAGAGAGACCTCTCGAGCTGACCACAACGAAGGTCAAGAAAGAACCATTCGTCAAAAATCTGTTCGTCGGCAAGTTCGATAAGGTAAACCGTCTCGCGCTGGTTGAACTGCCGTGTATAATTGATCATCAAAAGCGATGGTGTGTGGTGCCCTTCAGAGATACCTATCTTCGATCCCGTTTGATCGACGTTTTATTTTTCCAGTCTATGCTAGTCTATCCAGAAGTCCTGAACAATGAGCGGCTCAAGGAGCTCGAGTCCATGGCAGACGCGGTGCGGAAGTACTTCGACGAGAACGGTATGCTTCCTCGTTCGCGCGCTCCCGTGTTTGCCTTCCTCGATGGAAAAACGTTTTCTTTTTTTCTTCTTGTAAGTATACGTTTAGCGTTTAATGGTAATTTCCAGTGGACACACCCAAGATCGACCGGGAGAAGCAGATTCCGCCAGAGGTCCTGGAGGGCTTCAAATCCCTGGGATTGTTTGGACTGCAAGTCCCATCAGATTATGGTAACTCTCTACCCTCCTTTACACGCGCAACGAAACCGGAATCAGCTGACAGACGGGAAACTTTCTGTTTGTCAGACGTTCACCTACTTTATTTCGGCTTTTGGAGTTTCATGATGCTTGTGCTCATCGTATAGTTACACACTGCACGCTCTGGACTCAATATCATTACAAAAAAAGCATATTTGTAATCACGTTAACATTTTTTTTTAAAGCCCACAATGACCTTTGAGTGTTTGCAGCTAATTCAGTCATTTTTAGATTTTACGCCATAAAATGGTGCGGAAAATTCGCTACCTGCTCATAGAAAGCTCACACTCTCACCAAACGTGCGTTGAGGTGGTGCATTCTAGGTAATAACTTTTTAAACCTTAGATTCTTTTATTTATTTATTTTTCTTTCATTGTGAGAAATAGGGTTATTAATCTTACCAAGGTCAACGGCGGACGGGTTTGCAGACAACCGTAGTAGCGATGCTAGAGAGCCTAGGTTGTAGAGGGGGTCCATCTCAGACCATACATTGAGGTCTGCATCACAATTTGCAATCTAATGGCAGGCGCCTCCCGTGGAGATTAATTGCAACTGCGCAAGCGCTCTAAGCGATGCTTGTAGTGCATAACGCCATCTCCCGATATGCGGAGCGAGCCGTTGGTGCATCCTGTCGGCTGCTCACTGCGTCTATCGGGAGATGGTGTCACAAGTTGCATTCAGTGCTTACCTGGTCGTCCGCTAACCCGTCTGCCGTTGACCCTGGCAAGTTTGCTGGCCGCATTTTTCACAGAAATAAAGCTATGGCCTTCTTTTTGTGCACATTAGGAGAAAGTGTGAGCTTTGCACGAGGTCGAGAATCCGAGAGAAACGCCCTGCCATTCTCGCCTCATCAGCTACTGTTAGCGCCGAAATGTTTCGGCGGTGCCCTCTTACGGTTCTTCTTTGTGACGTCACAACCAGGTTTTGCCCCACCACGACATCATGAGTTGTGACCCTGGCTACTTATCATCGCCTGCGAACAACTTTGCCGGTGTTTGTAATACCCTAGTTACACGGGCGCCCTTAACCGCAGTAAAGTGTGACTGAGGTCAGGCTTAAATTCAGTTAAGGGTTCCATAGCTGGTGTATAAAATGCATGATGGTAGTTTGGAGTCATCATCACATTCTCAGACCAGCACCATCAAGGGTGACAGTTTGCCATTGTATGTGCCGGCACCAACTTTTCCGACTTTTTTACAAAACTAATTTCCTCTGTCTTAATCCCCCTGCACCACTTTGCTCTTAGTATGTCTGTGCAAGAGAGAAGAGCTACAGTGCCACAGAAAGGCATTGTAGTTCATTCCGGGGACTCTGCGGTGCCATGGTTAAAGTTGCGCTATAAATGTGTGCTAAGAGCGAGCTTCCGTCGTATTCTTTTCCACATCATCGACATTGTCTTTCTCACCAAGCTATAAATAAGTCATAGTGCGTGGTGAATACCGTCTTTTTAACAACCACTTTGAGGTAGTGTGGAGCTTGTAGAATTGGGTGGCCTCTAGCACAGTTGTGTACAAGAAGGATGTTTCCATTTAATTTAATAATATGTTAATTTTTTCCCAACCAGGGGGCCTTGACCTGACGGCCACCGAATATGCGAGAATGTGTGAAGTCACGGGAAGAGATGGTTCTATTGGCGTTACCTTGGCAGCACACAACTCTATTGGCCTGAAGGTAGGTTAGACAGTCTACTCTGCTTTATCTTTTTCCTTCAGCAGATTTCCATTATTTTCCAAATAAATCACATATAAATATGCACACAGTACTTATTCGTATTACAGGGGTGGAACGGCTGCGCCATTTGCACCATTTTGCGCCAGACGCATTTATCTGCGCCATCCTGCGCCATTTTGCGGAAACTGCGCCACAGCCAATACATCGCGCCATTGTGCTCCAAATCGCTGAACGTGCGCCCAATTTTGTTTTCATTTTGTCTTGGTTTCGGTTTTTATCGACTCGATTGGCAACAATGAGCGCGTTTAGCTTGGTCGGCCTTGCAATCCTTTGTTCTGTTTATTCTTCCTTTGTATCCCAATTCCCGAGTCGGAAGCGCGCGAACAAACTCGGGGTTCCAATTCCAAGTGCTACACCACCTGCGACTGGATTGTTGTTCTTCAACCATAAGCGGCTAAGCAAGTTGGCCGAGAAGAGGTAGAGCCGTTAAGCGTCAGATTACCTGAGGCTCTGCGGCCCGGGTTCCGGACGTCAGCCAGTTGAAAACACATTAGCAAACGATTCCTTTTAGTACTTCTTCGTTAGAAGTTGGAACCGCATTCATGCAAGATAAATCGTGATTTGATAGAACTGAAACGCAGTCCGATCCGAAACCTTGCCGGCCAGCAGCTCTCACGCGAGCGATAGATCTTGCTTGACAAACCTTGCTCCTGCTTCTCGCTAAGAACACGATAACTCCGTTAATCGTAGTCTGCTGCTTCAATATTGAGTTATACAATAGTATAAACTCGGAATTTGTTGCCCTGTTCCTCCGCGCAACTGCACGTCCGTTTCTCACGCACGTCACGTGGTTCGCACATATAATTACCATCTCGAACAGGTGTGAGTTGTGCCATAAGCAGTGCTGGTTTGCATTTTGAGCAGCTGAAAGCCACTCAGAAAATATCAAGGACACTATCTGCAGAAACATATGGTACTTGCTTTTTGGTTCTCATTAAGGCTCACAAAGTTTCAAGTTTTCGCATCTGTTACACTGTTATCCCACCTACATAGGTCCCTAACCACCATCTGTGTTGTTCTTTTGTGCTGCTAAGCACAACTGAAATTGCTCCCGTGCTTGTCTAAAACACAAGCTGAAGTGCAATCAAAACTGATCTGAGCTGCTCCTAGCCTGCTCCAGAACATCGTTTTAGCTGCTCTTAACCTGCTCCAAAACAGCTGTTTCAGCTGCTCCCGTGGCTGCTCCCAAGTACATTTCATGAGTTCCACCCCTGTATTATGACCTTTGCACCTTTAAAGGGATACTTCAACAATATTTGAAATATTCCCGTCGTGTTTAAAAATAGGTTGAATATGATCCACAATATCCGTAAATGACAATCGCACGTTTGTATTTTTAGCCTGGTGGCTGTATTTTTCGTTATAGACCGACACGCGGGCTTGACGTCACGGAGCTGCGGTGGCGCTGTGATCGCGCCGGAGCCGGGGGGTGTGGGCAAAAGCACGCACGTTGGGCATGTGCGTCATAGCATTTCAGCATGCCGCGAAGCTGTGTTGCCGTTAATTGCGCCAAAATGTACAAGAAAGGCAGCGGAGTGAGTTTCCACAAGTTCCCGGCAGACTCTGAAAGGCATAGAAGGTGGATAATAACCGTGGATCGAAAAGTATGGTCGCCTCGCGCGAACGACCGTTTGTGCGGCAAAACCTTTCTTGAAGGCAACGGCGGCTTCCATTTCACTCTCCGTCCCGAGGCTTGCTTATGTGCAGGGGAACCGTTGGCTGATCGAGACCACCCGGATTTTGTTCCCATGGTGTTCGCGCACAAAGCACCGGCCAAGCGCTCGTCGGAGGCTCGTTACGCCCGTGCTACCCAGCAGACGGGAACGGCGACAGAACGGCAGTGTTGTAGGCGTTAGCGAAAAAAAAGTAACGAAATACGTTACTCGTTATTTGCAAATAAAAGGTACGCGTTACTGAGCTACGTTACCTAAAACTAAAAGGAACGCGTTACCGCTACCGATAAAAAGTAAAGCACGTTACTTCTGATTCTGCGTTACTTTTTTTAAAATTATGATTTAACACATTTTACGGTTTTGACGATACAGGTAATATGTCAAGAAACATTATGTTTATGCAGAAACTGAACATAATTACTTTATCTCTTTTTGCGGTTTCACCTAAATAATTACGAGAAAAAACGCACAGAAAATCGTAGCTTGACGCCTAAAACACGTAAAAAATTGAAGTGTAATTTCTTTAAGACTTAGGAAGTAGTAACGAGTAACGCGTTACTTGAAATAGTAACATAAGTACGTTACCCGGTACTGTGTCAAAAACTTAACGAGTGGGTTGCTACGTTACTGAAAAAAGTAACGCGTCACCAACAACGCCGTTACTTGTAACCTGTTACCGCCAAGACTGCAGAACGGACAAAGCGTTACTGCTTGCCACGCCTTGTGGTCATGAGGGCAGGGAAAATATCATACCTTGACTTGAAGACGCTGTGTGTATTTAATCAATTAATGAATACACACACTTCCGCGGACCCACGGGCTGCTGATCCTGCCGGCAGTGCAGAAACCAACTCGAAGTAATCGTAGACCTCGAGAGACGTGTACCTGCACCGTGTCGGCCGTGAACTGGCTTGGCGAAAAAACTAAATAAACGACGACGTGAGCCATCGACGTCGGTGGCAGCAACTTTACGTCGGAAATCCAGCAGGTCTTGTTTATACGGCGTACGGATCCTCGTAGTCAACGCCGTCCACGCACAGTTTGTTTCGATACCGCTGCCGTTCAGGCTCGGGCAACGAGCTCGAATAGTCGGGCATAGCATACGGCATACGTTGTGAGGAAATACGACGCACAAATAAAGATACAAGCGTCCCTACAACGTCGACAACGAGCGCACGCCATAGAGCGCAATGGCGAAAACACGGAGAGCCGGGCTGCTTTTGCCCACATAGCTACCGCGCATGCGCGGCCTTCCGGCCGTGTTGGTAAACAGAGCCGCTCCGCGTGTCGGTCTATAAACGGCCCACTCTGGCAAGCGCTCGGAGAAGGCCCAGCGGAGACCACGTGACATCCAACGCAATCGTGACGTAGGTCGTCTCAAGACGAGCAAAGCTACGGCGAGGCTGACGTCTAGAAGATGGCCTAGTCGTTCCAGCCATGGAAGCGGCTGCTTTTGTACGAATTTTGCGTGACGGGTTAATCTTCTCTAATCTTGTAGGGGGACAATAGCGACTTCCGCGACACACAAAAGGCATTCTCAGGAAGAGGGGAGTTCCTCCTGCCCCTCTTCTCTCGTCGTGGCCGGAGGCGAGACAACCTCCGTCACTAGCTGTCAAAGTTCCTAGACAGGCATTACAAGTGAGGCGTTAGCGACATCCACCAGGTGCTCTTTGCTAATCGTTTAATTCGTTTTAAAATTCCTTTTCGTGACTTTTTTAACAAGATATTGGTATGTTCGATGTGATACTGCTCCTTTGAACACATATAGACCAAAAAATGAGCGCCGAAATTTTGTTGTAGTATCCCTTTAACATAAAAATATGACATATCATTGTTCACATTTTTTTTTCTTTTGTTGCTTCCTTTTGTTTATTGCGGGTATGTTCAGCATCATCGTCTTATTTCCAATATATCGGCAGTTCTGATGAAATCATGAGCCTTTTTTATGATTCACTAATGTGTAACAAACTCAAAAGTTTCAAGGGGGCATTGCTTGCTACAAGTTAAGTATAGATATGCAGATGACACAGGTACATATTTTTTTTTTTTTATCACTGCTGCATCTATTTGAATTTGACCAAACTTGGTGGCAACTTACTTTCTCCAGTGAATGAAACTGCCCTTCAAAAACGTTAGAAGCCAACAGTTTTATAAAAAACTAGAATATGAAGTGCCACATGGTAAAATATGTCAAAAACTTAATTTTATGTGTTGATAAACATTTTGTTTTTTACGATCTGCTGACTTCGCTCAAATTACTTATAATTTTTTACATTGCAGGGGCTATTATGCAGCATCTTTACAAGGAGATGCCTTATTCTTACGTTTTATGCTTATGGCTTTACAAAATTGCAAACTTGTAACCCAGAGAAATTTTTGCTAAAAACAAAGCAAATTAGACGTTTGTGTTTGACAGCATGAGGTCAGTCTGCCTTAGACACTTGGGCTGCAGAAAATAGTTTTTATATAGCAGCAGGTTTTGGACTGCAAGCTTCACAATCCCAGCCACCTTTTCACTTTGCTACCCTTGCGTTTTCTAGGGCATTCTCCTGTGTGGCAATGAGGAGCAGAAAGCAAAGTACCTGCCAAAGCTGGCCACAGGAGAGCACATTGCTGCCTTTTGCCTCACTGAGCCTTCAAGGTACGACCTGTTGAAATTTCATACTACTGCTCTTTCGCGTCCATTATAACACTGATTCCTTTTGCATCTTCATATCAGTCAGAAGCTACATGTAACCGTTAGCATTCCATTGAGCAATATGCTTGCCATGACTCAAATCAGTTTAAAAGAATGCAATAGACAAATGTTTGTCGTAGAAATGGACATGCAATTCGCGATGCTGGTAAACAGCTAAGTCCCAAAAATTGATAATTTAATATTTTATAGCCGGGGAAACTGGCTAAAGCCATGTATAAAACTTATAAATGCACATTACAGATTTAAAAAAAAAAAAAAAAAAAGTTATGAAAACTACATTAGTGCGGCTAGGCAGGTGAGTTATATGACCAGGGGGACACACACAATATAGGGGAATAATCGTCATGATAGGTCAGTTAATTAACTACACTTCGTTAATTAGCTTTTTTTAATTATTGAAGGTAAAAATATGGTTCCAATCTGAACTGAGCATCATGGAAAAGCATTAAATAAATAAATTTTAGAAAGATTTGTGGCGCTTGGGAAGCACAATGGTTACCGCTCTTGAAGCAGGCGCAAGGCTAGCAGTGCAAAAAGCGGCCCATAGTTTTCTGAGCTTCGCTGACTTATTGTTTTTCGATGACACTCGGCAAGCTTCTGATTGGAACCATGTCTTTCTCTTCAATAATTGAAAAGCTTTTTTTAACAAATTTTACCTGATTAACCGACTTAATTGCGACAATTAACCCCCTATATTGTGTCACCCTGGTCGTATAACTCACCTGCACAGACAGCATTAGTGTAGCTTTCACGGCTCTTTTTAAACAATTATGTAAAACCTAAAAAAAGAAAAAAAAAACTAAAAAAAGACACCCTGTATTTTTTGACTGTTGAGTTGACATGATGATGTTGGTTTAAAACCTTTTCTGTTGTTTTTTTTTTTCAGTGGTAGTGATGCTGCATCAATCCAGATGACTGCAACACTAAGTAGCGACAAGAAGTTCTATCATTTGAATGGCAGCAAAATCTACATCAGCAACGGTGGCATCGCCGACGTAATGACTGTTTTTGCAAAAGTCAAGGTGGATATGCCGGATGTACGTCGTTCTGAATTCACTCATTTTTTTTCGCAAGATTCACTCTTGCATGAAATTATCGTACCTTGCAGACATATGTTTCGTTGAGTGTAAATACACGTCCAATCATCAGATACTTGCCCCGAGTATCGATTACGTTTACAGATGTGCTTACGGAAGTCGCTGCTGTACCTCCTGGTGCATAAAAATTTTCTAACGCCATCTTTTTTTGCAGGCTTTCAGTTTGGTGGCCGTAAGTACCACATCAGATTAGATGGGGCGAATCACACGCAACATGTTCATATGAATCATGTTAAAAAGTACTATAACTCTGATTATTCTCACAAATTTTATTATTATATCAGGTATTTTTTTAGGCTTGGTGGATTGTTTCTTAAAAAATTCAATGTTACACTAATGTGGTCTTTGCAGGCGAGTTATATGGTCAGGGGTACATAAAACGGGGCTAGTCGTCACAATAAGCCGAATAATTAACTAACATTTGCTAATTCTTTTAATTAGTGAAAATAAACATATGGTTTCAATGAAAAACTTGCTGAGCATCATGAAAAACCACTAAATTAGTAATTACAAACAGATTTGGTGCACACAGGGAGCATGTGCGCCGAATATTTTTCAACGATGTTCAGCAAGTTCTTGATTGAAAACATAGTTTTTTTTTATTTTCACTAATTAAGAAAATTAATGAACCGACTACTTACTTATTCGACTCATCTAGACGATTCTTCTCCTTTATTATGTCCCCCTGGCCGTACAACTCGCCTGAACAGACTGGAATTGTGTAGCTTTCGCAGCTTTTTATTTTAACCAAATCTGTAAAGATAAGAAAAAAAAGCAAAAAAAACACCACCCCGTATATTTGATGATATTAACAGCTTCTAAACGAACAGTGTTCAACAGTGGCCCATAACTTAGTTTTTTCTTCTACTCCGGCAGCGCACAAAGGAAGGTGTTGTGACGGCGTTCATCGTTGAGAGGGGCTTCGGCGGTGTCACTTCCGGACCTCCGGAGGACAAGTTGGGAATCCGTGGGTCTAACAGTTGAGTGTCGACGTTTTCTTTGGCCGCGGTTGAAAACACCGTGTCGCGTGGCGAGCAAGTCCAGTAAAACGAGCGTCACATTTTATCGTTACAGCGACATCCGTGTTCTTCGACGACACCCCGGTTCCGGTCGAGAATGTGCTTCTCAAAGTCGGCGACGGTTTCAAGGTACGTCAGAAATAGCTCGGCTCACTCTCCTAAGTGAAACGCTACGACCAGGATTTTAGCGGGAGCTGGGGTTACGTAACTGGACGGGGCTTGGAATGCGTGTCCGCCCGACGTCCAAAAAAGTGGTTCCCCGATTTCTGCCCTGTGACATCGTAAAAGTGTCATGTTGGCACCGACCGTTGTCCTGCCGGTGGCACAGCGAGGTAGAGGGCGTGGTAAATGCCTGTTCTATGTAATCACACCAATTGGAGACACTCTCCAGGCACCATTCTAATAGTGTGTTAACAGTTTGGTAATCGAGCAGGCTAACATGACGTAAACACACCTACAATCGAATTGCTTTGACCCCAGACCAGGTTATACTTCTGTAACGTAAGAAGAGAATTAAGGGGAGGTACTCCCTTGGAAGGTCTACTTTTTAAGTACTAGTGCTATTTCAATGAAATTGGCAGGGTATACTAGGCATGCAAACTTGGGAGGCTACACCAACTTTCAGCTGAAAAGGTCAATTTCGTGCCAAGTTACAGCCTTATATGTCAAAAATACTATGCAGCTAGTAGTGCCTAGGGGAAGAAACTATAGTTGCAAAACAGTACCAAAGTGTCACAATTTGTTTCCTTGGATATAAGGACGAGTGACTAGACTAATCGGTAGTGGGTTTCAAATAATTTTAAGCGCCATATTTAGCGTTAAAGTAAACTTCGAGAAAGGGGTTAATTTCATTCATATTTTTACTGTTACAAAAGTTGACATTTTCTCGCTAAAGAAATAGCAATCTTGAAAAAGTAAACACATAGTCGAGTTCTCCAGTAAATTTCACTCCAGAAAAACCGCACAGCAGTTACGAAGGTACTTCAGTCATCGAATGATAGTTTTTGAGCAATGAAGAAATGGTCAAAACATGAAGCTGAGGAAAACGCGTTTGAAAATCTATATTGTGTTCCACTTTCGATGGCACTTGCCACTTGACCTAAAATGCTCCAGGAGTGTACGGCAGTCTCTCCTCTGCATTGTCCTTCTGTGCTTTGGCCACAGCTTCCATCTTTTGTCTTTTGCGCGATGCCTCGGTGCCTTCACTTGGGCCTTTGCAATCTTCGTCCGAGTGACCTTCACGGCCTGTGATGTCTGGTGGCTCCCTGGCTCAATGCCCATATCCAAAGAACTTTCTCAAAGCCTCGAGGATCCAGGTTGAAGACTGCGAGAGTACAGTACTTAGAGAAGCGACCTTTGGGCACCTCTTCCAAAGCAAGGCGTTGAAAGATCATTCCCGTTCTGGGTTTTCATCTGGGAACATCTTTCAAGAAAATCATTCCGTGACAGGCGGTTGTACAAGGGCACTAGCTCCTTCGCTATCTCCTTGGAAAAGCTGGCTTATGTGGCCGAGATGCTGGTGATTCTCTCGCTTCCTTGAGAGCTTTGCTTCGGTTCAAGTGGCACCAGGACTCCATCCCAGTGGAACAAGCGAAATGAATTGGCTCCTTGTCGGGGGGTGGTATGAATGCAGGCAATGCGTTGATGCAGGAGACTGGCATATACACTCCACGTTGCATGGAGTATTGGGTCACGTGGCAGGTTTAAGCGAATCGGAGTTCCTTATTCACCAGTGTGGCCAACAAGAGAGCGTGCGGTGCTGTTTTTTATGCGGTTTCACGTTTGGTGCGCACAACGTCTCGCAAGGAGCTCTATACCAAAAGAAGAAGGGCTAAGCACTTTTTCTAATGAATGCGGAGCGAGCGCACTTTGAGAATGGTAAATTGGTGTGACCGCGTGCAGTTTTATGAAGCGCTCTCGGCCGCCGGCACATCAGAAATAATTTATTTCGGACTAAATACTGGATCTACAGGAATAAAACTTTTTGACATCATTCTTCGGGAGTTATACAAGCTGATAAGACTATTTTTCATAAACATGATTTTTTTAAAAATTATGATTTTAAGGCCGTGCCTCCCCTTAACTGATTATCGCATCCCTACGTCATTCTCGAGTGGCATAACATGTCTGCAAGTGGTAATTTGCCAAGCATTGAGAGAGGGAGATTTCGTTTTAGTTCTTTATCTAACTTATTTTAAATCTCCTGGTTAGGGCATTGTATGAGGGAGGATGCAAAATTTGATGACCCAAAATACAACATACAATAATGCACTTAAAGGGCCCATGAAACGATTTTTGGGTTGGGATAAATCATTTTAGATTGGGATTTTACTAATAGAACATCGTTCAGTGGGCCAAAAGCAAAAAGGTAGAAAGTCAAAAGCCTGACATTCAGTGCGAAAATTTGAAAACACAGCGGACTATTTCGTTCCTCCTCCCCTTCATAACCGCTCTGCCTTATCACTGAGATACATCCGCCGTCCCAAAAGCGTGTCATCGGGTCCAAACTGACGTCACACAAAACCGGACCTCATTTAGTCCCTTCACCCCTAAGCTGACATTGTGGTGGAAGCTACGCGCTTGCCGGACCAATCAGCCACCTCCGTTTCATCACCTGACTTCATTCTCTGCAGCCACATTTGCCACGCTTACGTGGCAAAAATGTGGCTAGCCCAAGGAGCACGTAGCTTCCACAGCACTCTCAGCTTAGGGGTGAACGGGCTAGGGAAAGAAACTCTTGTCTGAGTTTTGAGCGACGGGCTAATCTTCTAGGGGGACAATGGTTGTGTCCGGCTAGTCAAGCGAGATTCCGAGCAAGAGGGGACTCCCCCCTTTCCGACTTCTTGAACTGTTTGGTGGAATGCGCGATTTATGAGTTGAGGAGGAAAGCGAAACAGGAAAAAGTTGGAAAAGCGTTTCATGACCCCTTTAAAGGGGCGATGCAACGATTTCTGTATTTTGCGCAAATACCGCTTAAAACGGATCCCTGACAATAATGACCTGTGGAATACCTGTTCGTTTTTCACCACACGCAATCGAAGTCGCAGGAAAAAATTACGAAAAACGAGCAGGGTTCACCCCCTCAACTCGCAGCCAGAACAAGCGGCCACCTGATCTGGAGCCGATTATATGGCGCCAATGTTGATCATAGCCTCGCGCTGGGGTTGGCAAGGCACAGGAAATGCGCCGAGTTCTAGACATTGTTATGGTTCGGTTGTTGTTGTCATTGCAGCGATTGGACACGGGACACTACCCGAATGCTTCTCGAGCTATTGGTTATCACGAGCCAAAATCGAGTGTCTATGCCATGCTCGGGTCCAATCTATGAGCAGCATTCAAATATCGTCACTGAGCGGTACTGCTACTGCCGAGCTACGTCATCAGGTTTTGCGAAGGAGAGATTGAATGAAAACACTCGGTTTTGCCCTCGAAATTACAGCGCAACAAAGAAGTTTTTTGGTCAGTGGCATTGTGTGCGAGTATCCTTGAGTCCCACTACTGCCAGTAAGCTCGTGTAAAGTGAAAAACATTCCAATCGAATATCGTTGCACCGCCCCTTTAATACACAAAAAAGAAAATCCATATCAACTAGAAAAAAGAAAACAATATCAATGTCGATGATCATGGTATTGTTATCTACTTTATTTTATCCCAAGCAATGGAGACTAAAACATTTCTGGTGTTTTTTTTTTTTGTTTTTTTCTCTATAGATTGCAATGAATGTTCTTAACAATGGACGGTTTGGAATGGGTGCAGCCATAGCGGGTGGCCTGAGAGACTTGATCTGTAAGTCTGCTTCACTTCATTTGAGAGCATGGTATTTACCTTACGAAACGAGCAAGGAGCCTATTACAGTAGGCTCGTTAATTCAAACTCTAAGAAGCCTGTCTTTTCTTTGAATGATTGCAAGTTTGAATTATCAGAAATTCAACTGTATATGATCCAAGGTAAAGTTATTTTTTATATGTGTGGCTACAGCTACAAAGCATGTATGCCACACATGAAACATCAGTGAAATGTATGTGATAAGATTATTCATCCCTCAAAAATGTTGTTATTGTGGGCTGTTTAGACACCACACTGCACCTCACAACAAATTTAAGTTTGTTCATCCAACAAAAAAGTTGTCTATTGTCGACTGTCAGCCCCGTTGAGCGCGCTTCTTATCGAGCACCGGTGAACCACGGGTAAGCAACACCCACGGAAACGAGCTCAGTGGTTGTTGCTTTTCTGTAGTGCACCGGTGCACGGAAAGAAGCGCGCTCAACGGGGTCGCAAAAACAAAAGGTATGTATTACGCGAAAATGCCATTTGAATTAAGCGGCATTGAAGTACATTGAGTACATAAGTACATTGAAAACATAGCAGAATGATCAAAATTTTGAAATTTGTTTGAATTAACCAGAAGTATGAAATATCCGAGTTTGAATCATTGCGAGCCTACTGTATACTGTAGATTTCGTTGGAAGTCAGGTCGGATCCGCTCAGACGCATTAAGAACGTCATGCACAGTCGCAGCTGAAGGTATTTTATACATGTTAGCAATTTCCTTTGGGAACTTGGGTGTGTTTGTGTTTCAATTTCTATTTGACGGTAGGTCATTTCGCCAAGCCTCTAATATATCAACAAATTAATCAACCATTGGCTTTTATTAAAGCCAATGCATATAGACTTTAATGACTGCTTGAAAAATCAATGAAGAGGCCATCTTTCTGCTTACTTAAAGGGGTTGTGCAAAAAAATAGATATGCCCACATTTAATTTTATAAAATTGATGAGACCTCAAAGCTCCTAAATCCTAAATATTGTGGCGAAATATTGCGTCGCCTTTTTATCAACCTTGTTTGAAAGTCGTGTTTCTTGGGGTGTCTGAAACTACCATGCGACACTGTTGGCCAGCTTAAGCAACAAAACGTCACAAAAATACTTGTGTAAGGTTGAGGATCTACTGTATTTTATTTTGTGTTTCAAGACTAAAAAGGAAATTATGAAAATAGTGAGGAATTTACTGGTGTTCTAAAACTAATTTGGCGGTACTATATCACACGATTGCTGGTAACTTTTGTTTTCAAACACATCTGAGATTTCAGTCGTCTGGCAACCCTAGCGACGTCAGCTGCTGTCGTCCGCTGGTCACATTCTCTGTGCGCGGAAGTTTTAGGTTGCGGTGTGTGCTTGCGTCGTTGGCATGTGTTGTGTTCGCCCAGCACTTCCTACGCCGACCATGTGCGTTCTGAGACAGTGCAGCACAAGGTACGATAGAGCGAAAGACATTCAGTTTCATGAGTTGCCAGACGATCCACAGCGAAGAGCGGCCTGGTATCGATCCATCGACCGCTATGGCCTGGACGACATCGGCAAGAGCCAGGGTTGCATGTGAAACCGAACTTGTTGTTTTACGCTAATAAATGAATCCAGACACAACAAATGCAAGTGGGTTACATCAAAGAAAACCGGTAATCCAAATAAGCACATAGCGCTGAATTTTCAAAAAACGTTTCACAACCCCCATGGGATATTTGGTGAAAGGGCAGGTTAAGACAGTATTTAAAAGTTGGTGACATGGTTACATGAAGAAAAGAACCCTATTTTGCAATTTTTCATATGTTGCCACTCTAAACGTTCGCAAAGAGACGAACAGTCGCTCTGACCTATACAATCTGTGTCTAGCTCTCACGGCAGACTATGCTGTAAACAGGGTCCAGTTCGAGAAGCCGCTCTCGGAGTTCCACATGATCAAGGTGAGGATCCCTCTTCTACGAGTGGTTTGTTGAGGTCTCGTCTCAGAAGACGTGTGCAGAGTGAGGTTGTTTGCGTTCCAGGACAAAGTGAGCAAGATGACAGCCCAGTTGTATGCCATCGAGAGCATGGTCTACGTTTCCTCCGCCATCTTGGACGTCGTTGAGGAACCAGACTGTGCCCTTGAGTGTGCCATTGTAAAGGTATGCTGGCTTGGGACAGTTATGAAGTTACATGCAGGTTACAGGCTTTAATTGAGCTAATTGGTGCATACTCATGAAAGGTTAGCTTGAACTTACAGAAATGAATGGAGTAAGGACAGAACAGGGCAAAACAGCTGGCTAACAGCTTTGCTTTAGTAAAGGAGTTGTCCATCAGATTTCATGCGGCAAGTGTTACGTTGGCCGAACAGGCCGATGCATCAGTGACAGAATTGGGGAACATGCAGCAGAGTGCAGCGTCAGGCCCTCTGCCGGCTTATTGAAGGACATGCGAATGCGGTGCAGTATTCAGCAACATTACGGTTCTTGCAACGAACAAGAATCCTATGCACGTGAGATGCTCGAGGCACTAAAAATGAAAGAATGTGTGGATGACTGTGTTAGGCACCTCGTCCATCACGATTCACGGCAAAGAAAAACGGTGTTTGCGGTGTACCACAGCCAGATAACCTGTGGGATGAAATTCGGCGGGTAACATTAAACTTGATAATTTCATTGTGTAAATCCTTTTTGTAACTAATAGTCATTTTGTGTATATGTGGGAGACGATTACACGTACAAAGAAGTGTGTACTAAAGCAAAGTTCTGAGCTGTTTTGTCCTTTTTTCGTTTGTTTCTTTAAGTATTTGTATGCAGGGTTCCTTTTTTGGGGGGTTTATGTTTTTTCGAATTTGAAAGTGTTTTTTGGGGGGGTTTATTTTTTTCCCCCTCAGATGTGGTGTCAATTTTCAATCTCGGACAAAGGAAAATTGTCCTTTATCGCGGTTTACGTTGAAGAAAATAGAACACGTGCGTGGGATTTCTCTACCTCCAGGGAACAGATTCATTCATTCATTCATTGCTTTATTTTCAAATTGTTCTTTCAAATATACAAAAGTTGTTTGGACCCATAGCCTTTATGGCTTGTCCGGGGTCCAATGGTAAAAATACACTTCAAAAAGCGGCAACACAACGGACAAATACAATACACGAAACATAGAAGGATCACATTCTACAAAATAATTAACTCGACTGCTTTTTGTAATTAGCAAAAAATGTTTTGAAGAAAGGCAAAAAGTTATTTTTTAGCTTAATATCTATGGGTATTTCATCCCATATTAAAGCACCATTAAATTCGATCAGCTTTTGTCCTTATGTATTGTGACATGGCGGTAAATTAAACGAGTGATTCACTGCAGCTCTTGTTTGTCTAGTTGGAGATCTAAATAGGCTTGAAGGAAATGGTTCATCAATTTCTGTGATTTTATTAACTATTTTCAGTATTTTAATTTTGTAAACAGAACTTATTGGCAACACGCCTAGTAATTGAAGAAGAGGTCTACTAGGGTCAGTTGTTTTTGAGAATGTGAGAAATCGTTATGCCCGTTTCTGTAAATGAGTGATTGGATCTAAGTTCATACTATAAGTATTACCCCATGGCTATACAATAGGTCAGATGACTGTGCACTAATGCGAAATAAAGTTTGCGGAGAATAACCAAATCAAAACATTCGCGCTCCTTTAGTAAAGTATGACACCCGTATGCCCATTTTGAGCAAACGTGTATAACTTAGTTTTTCCAGTGCATGTCAGAATCAAACAGAACACCCAGATATTTATAACACGGAACTCACTGTAACTCCATATTATCTAAACATATAACCAACTCATAGTAATTTAAAACCTTTTTCTTAGAGGGGAATACTGTATACTTAGATTTTTGTTAAATTAAGTGTGAGCTGATTACTCGTGAACCATATCAAAACTCTAGCCAGCTCTTCATTTATCTTATACTGTAGCTCATCTATCGTGTCTCCCACAAGAAATAATGCCGTGTCGTCAGCGTGCATTAATACCTCTGAATATTTTAAAAACGATGGAAAGTCATTTATATAAAGAGAAAAAAAGAATGGCCCCAAGCTCTGAGTTCTATGGTACACCAATTGACACCGTTTGAGGTGTAAATATAAAATCTTTTATTACTATGCACTGTCTCCAATCGGAAAGATAGCTTGTTAACAGCTGTAACATATATCCTAGAAAGCCATAATTATAAAGTTTATTAATCAAAATATTGTGATTAAATGTGTCAAATGCTTTTTTTTATATCTAAGTATACAACAACGGCAAACTTATTGTCGTAAAACAAAAATGGCTGAAGACATCATTCTATTAGATCTGATCCCGTGCCGATTGGGGCAAAAATAGAGTTCTTTAGTAAGAAGTCCTTTATACGTTTGCAGAGTTTTTTTTTTTTTTTAATTGTGTTGATTATATTTAAAACTGAGACTAGACGATGCAGAGGAGTCTTCATCTTTATAGATAAGTATTTTTTTAGCTACCTTAAATTTGTTAGGGTATGTTCCGACTTCTATCGAATGATTGAACAGATGTAGAAGATGAATACTTGCTATATCAATATTGTCTTTAATTAATTTAACTGAAATTGTAGAAGTTGAAATTAATTTAACTGAAGATGCCCTCCCTTCTTTGTCCCTGTCAAAGCAAAGTCAATATAGCTAGTTTTGTTGTTTTTGACTGATTCCTTGTGACAACAGAGAGTCGCGTGAAGAATGTTAAAGGAGATTGCAGTGTTCCCAAAATGACACATTTCTTCATGTCCTCAAGGTGTTCAGCTCGGAGGCTGCCCTGAGCGTGGTGAGCGAGTGCCTACAAATCCACGGGGGTTCAGGCTTCATGCGATCATTACCCCTGGAACAGTACTACAGAGACATGCGGATACTCTCAATTTTTGAGGTAAAAGCACATTCTCTCCCCGATACACCTTTGTTTTTTTTCGTGGAATTTTCGCCGTTCTCTCTTGTTTAAACCGTCATCTTGGCTCCTTTTCAGGGTACGAACGAAATCCTGAGGCTTTTCATTGCTCTTATGGGGATTCAGCATACCGGAAAAGCAATTGGAGAAATCATCAAGTATGATAGCTTCAGCCGTTTTCTTCTTTAAAAACTTACTGGAGTTGCCACCGTACCCTTCTTAGTACATTGGGGTAGCATACTGCTTGAGTTCTGGAGAACGTTCTAGAGAGTTCTCCAGAAAAAAAATGTTACTCCTGGCTTAATTGCAACAGAAATTGAGACCCACTCACATCTGCAAACCAATGTGACTAGTGGTACAGCACCGAAATTGCCTCGCTGTAAAAGTTGGCAATTGGAATCACTTTGCAAGTCTTAGGCTTCTGAAAATTTGACTGCCATGTGAGATGGGTGTTTGGCTATACTGAGCGGTCCACTTATATTTTTGTTTACACTTGCCTCTGCTTTGCTCTAGTATATTTCATCAGAGAGTCCTTAGGCAATAAAAAACAAAAGTTCTCCTCAATTTAGGACTTGTCACGCTTGACGACGACAGTACAATGAAAAGCCCCATGAAGCGGTTTCAGATCTGTTTGCCAAGTGATGCTTAGAGCAGGTTTGAAAACATTGTGGAACATCCGCTTTAAGGTTCAGAGGACAGCTATGTACATGCTAAGATCAAGACAAAGGGTGCTTTCATTCTCGGGATTGGACAGCAGATGGAAAATCTCCCGTGTAAATAACCCGCGTCAAACTGCTCTTGATCCTACGGCTGGCAGCAACAACCTAAGGTGGTCTCGTGGCTCCTCTAGTCGGTTCAGCCAAAGTCCCTCGATAAGGTTCCCGTCCCACGTTTCTTGCAAGTACCGACGACCACCATTGCGCGAACGTGCATTACGCGCCACGAGAGAGTGCCTCACTGCCGTCTGCTTCCAAGGGTCGCACAAGGCGCGCTCCTCGTGCGTCGGCACATTTGATGCCATGCTCATTAGACAAACACATCGAGGGGCTTTGGATCCAGAGAGTGCCAACATCAAAGAACCTTTCGCCCTTCTGTACTCCGCGTTGTCGGGTGTCCCACGCCGACCAGTCTTTCCGACTTGGGGGTCCGCAGGAAACTGAGGAACCCCTTGGCCCATCCCTTCCTGGTGTTGCAGAAGGTGTGGGAAAACAGGCGGGACGTCGCGGACAAGCCTATCATGGACCTGGACCTCTACACCAGCTTGCATCCCTCTCTCAAGGTGAGCCGCTCGTCGTCAGAATGCAGCATCTCCGCCACAGTGCCGTCCCGGCCCGGGACTTGGGGAAGAAACCCTCCTCAGACGGCGTCTGCATACTGTCTAACGTATTAGTGGCGTGACCACGGCTCTAGAGGTCGGTTTTACCTCGCGAAATTCCGCGCAACTCCGTTTTCGTAACAAGGTAGAACAGACACCACCCTTTATTGGTGGCTAGTTCGACGGCGGCAGAGTTGGGTTTTGAAATTGCGCTGGATGATAATGACCGCCAGACCGTGCATTTGAGGAAACTTGTGTACTGCCAGACTAAGACGTCAATTTTTCGTGATTGTTTATCGGTGCGTCTAGTGAGTGACGTTGAGGGCGCCTTGTGGACAGACGTACAAGGGCAGTTTTAAGATAAAGGCGTAAAAATTGTTCATTTTCAGGAGCGTAAGTATTGGTATTGAACGTGAACATTTTACAGAGATCTGTCTGGTTTGGGACGAGGCTAATTAGAGACGGGGACGTCCAACCGCAGCCCAATTAGGGACCCAACGTTTCGAGGCCTGCTCGGCCTCTTCTTTAGAGACGATTGTTAAGGAGCAGTGTTGTCATCTAGTGTTTTTTTTCTGTCTTTTATGGTAATGCCTTTCTCTATGGATTGGTGATATTGCAAAGCTTGTTGACATAGTAGAAGCGTATGCACTTGGGCTAGTTGGTGATCCATGTATGTGAGGTTAAAAGCGCTAAAAACAACGGACAAGTAAAAGAAACATACAACACAGAGCACTACTTGCAACTGAAGTTTATTCTTAGGAAACACACATATATATACACCGTGAAATCGCGACATGTACTTCAGAAATGCAACATCACCCCATCATAGCAGACAGACGAACGCTGATGGGGTGATGTCGCATTTCTGAAGTACATGTCGCGATTTCACGGTGTATATATGTGTGTGTTTCCTAAGAATAAACTTCAGTTGCAAGTAGCGCTCTGTGTTGTACGTTTCTTTTACTTGTCCGTTGTTTTTAGCGCTTTTAACCTCGCATACTTGTTGACATAGGCGGGTGGTTAAAGTACCAAGAGACCTATTGATGTTTTCTGCCATAGTTTGTGCCATGATTCCAAGAAAAGTCTATAGGTTAATCGGCGCTTTACCATCCACCTACGTCAACAGGCTTTGGTGATATCAGCAACCCATAAAGAAATGCACCACCATAAAAAATTTTTTTTAAAACTTCTGCTTTTTGACGGTTGTTGCCACAGTCAACCCCAAAGAAGAGGCCTATTTGGCCTTCGAATGTTGGGTCCCTAATTAGGGTATGGTTGGTTGGTCGTCCCTTTTTTTAAAATTAGTTAAGCATAGTTATGACTATATTGTATTTCCTGCAGCAAGAGAGACGAGGTCAGACTGTCGGCTAGTCCGATCTAGGTACAAACAGAACCCAATGGTTGGACATAGTAATAAACTTTTGCAGCACTTGCATTGAGCAGGAGTGAACTCTGATGCATGATTATACCTCACTTGCAGTTTCAGAGTCATTTGCTTTTTGTGGTCTCCTCGCAGACTGAAGCAGACACGCTGGAGTACTGTGTCAAGCGGCTCAAGTTCTGCGTAGAGGTGTGCCTCGAACGCTTCGGAAGGGTTAGTGCCTCTCACTACAAAGCTATATTTCCAAAAACGGATCTGAGGCTGTCCTCATTTGTTTTAGGAAACGAGGCAGTGTCCTTTAAAAATATGCTAAGTGGGATTTCTATTTTGTCCAAGTAGAATAGCAACTAGGTCGAGATGCCACATAAGAATATTAATACTTTCAGTGTCCAGGCAGCTCTCTCATTTTCCGTACGCCTATCGGCGTGCCACCGGAGTTGGAGCTAAAAAATGTAGCGGACATAAAAACAACAGAGATATACAAGAAGCAAAACTATGCAGGCGAGTTGGTTAGGACACATTGTCCATTATTACATTGTCCGTTACATTAATCCTCCCTATATCTGGGTCCCTATACATTATAAAGAGGTATACGCCCGTTTCATGGTTGCGACATTACCATTCCATCTGGCGATTCTGATCGAACCTCTTATACAAAAAAAGGAAGTTTGTGTTGGTCGCCATGCTGCGTCTTAGTATAATGTGGCTTATACATTCTTTGCAGGAAATCGTGGAATACCAAATGGTGTTGTCCAACCTAGCGGACATGGTCATAGACGTCTATGCAATGTCTTGCGTACTTGCAAGAGCGTCGCGTTCCTATTGCATCGGTCTTCGAAATGCGGATCATGAGGTTGGTTTCTCTACCTTTTTCGCTTTGGCTCCGTGACAAACTGACCGGGGCGAAATTTTTCTCGCCACAGCTCGACATTGCGGCTGCCTTCTGCCACGATGCGAAGAAGAGGATAAAGCTGAAGGAGGACGAAATCAATGACGGTGAGGCACAACTAAGGTCCGGCCTCCGAGCGGATCTAATTTCTCCGCACTGCATAAGCGCGTGCATATCTTGGTCTTTTTAATGCAAAAGCATTAACTGTCCCATGAAGCGAGTCGACGTCATCAGTTTGAAGCGCGAAAACGGCACCTAGTTTCCCTGATCCCAAAGATCCCATTGGCTGGTGCGCGGCGACGAGGCTCCCATTGGCTGCTGCGCGCGTCAGTTTCAATGACTGCTGCCAGGTGGCGCCGCGTGTTTGTGCCGCCAGCACGCCGATAAAACTAACCGCCGCAACCTCGTGCCACTACGAGCCCCGTGCCGGTTAAAACGCACACATTGGCGCACGCTCGGAGGCTTCTGCTCGTCTCGCTGCCGACCAACATGCCATTGCCTTCCATCATCCACATTGTCGGCGGTGCTTCTGCTCGTCTCACCGCCGACGAATATGGCACCGCCTCGAGCAGCCACATCGTCGGACATTCATGCTTTCGCATTCACAACTAAAAAAAAGTGCTAGGTGTCTTCCAAATATTTTTCGTTTTCTATGGCCGCCGGTTATGGCCAGCAGTTCTGTAGTTTGCGAAAACAGCTTGTGTTTTCGCGGCCTTGCCCCTTTGTAGATGCATCGATCCAACCGGTTTAGGTCCATCGGGGTCAGTGATTGCCTAACCATGCATGCAGATTTGCTTTGTGGTCCAGGAAATGATTGGCCTCCCATTCTTTGTCACAGCTGCTCATAATTTAATGAGTTACCCGGGACTGCACTGACATCATTCGAGCCCAACTTTGAGGAGATTGTTTCATGAATAGGGACTAGCAGTAAAGAAACATAATGAACTTAATGAGCTTTTCCCGCATCTGTGTTGCGCTTCTTCTCCTGCCTTTTGATACTGACAAGTATCGAAGGGTCAGATGTAATTTTCAAGGGGGGGGGGGGGGGGGGGGGGACACTTTCACATGGTGTCTCCCCCTCGTGAAACACGGGGGAACCGGACCCTCTCGGGATTTACGCCGCTGGTCTTCTTACTGGCACCGATGTCAAAAGGGCAAACCGCGTGCGACAGTCTGGAGGGTTTCTTGTCTAGCCTCTTCTAGGTGCGATGCATGGCGGCACATGCACGTTGTGCGTTTTAGACACCTAAGTGGGGATAACCCACATGGTGATGCGCATTGATAAGAAACCGAAACCCAGAAACGCATCCAAATTGAGTTTTTTTTTTAAAACGCTGTAAAAGCATTAAGACTAGTTCCTTGGTGCCTCATTTTACTGCCCATAGTGACTGGCATTCGTTGTGAATAAACTGGAATTTGTTTGCACAGATATACTATTAACTACTGAGCAAGTGCCTAGCCACGATTTTCAGATAATTAGGTGAAACAGGGGATAAGTGCTTGTTAGGTCCGAAACTGGAAATGCAGAAGGGTGCTCACAGTGGGGGGGGGGAGGTGGTCTGACGGAACAGTGTAGCGGTAACGCTACAGGGGTACGACGGAAACCCTGTAGTACTAGAAAACTCTTGGAGAATAATAACGAAATATTCCAACACAGCTGACCCTAACTTTTTTAAAAGAGTCTATGCCTCTCCCATCTAGCCCGCTTCACGCAAGCTCTTTCACATCAAGCTCCATTGCTTTGCACTGATGCACGGGTGTCAAGCTTAATTTTTTTTTGCACCGGTGTGCTTGGAGAGGCGGCTGACACGGTGGAGCATCTCGGTTAGCTCGGTTTATTCGCAGGTTTCGCTCTTTAGTTTGCGATTATAGGCCGACCCCTTATTTCAGAGGAAAATTGCCAAAAAGAATACTCTATCTATATTCTAATAAATATTGTTGCATTGCAGAGGGCACTTGATGTGTCTTTTCCATATTCTTGAACTTGCTGGGGTGGGCGCTTGATACGTCCTTTACTTATTTTTTAGATGTTTTAAAAGTGGGGGGGTGGGTACCCGCTGGGGCGTGGCCACATGCTTGGTATCTTACTGTTTGGAGACGGACACATAAGGAGTTCTGCTAGATGTTTCTGGAACCATCCTTTTACATTGAGAATCACTTTAGTTCTCGAATTTTTGAAGTTGGTTTTCTCTCAGTGGCTTTTGGCAACATGTGGCTCTATTTCTGCCCCTAATATAGACACATCTAGAATTCTAGAGCTTCTTCTCATGTTTTTCTATACATTTTACTTCAGCTTATGGTGCCATGTAATGGTCTTGCCATATTCTCCAGTAGCAGAAAAGCGTGGTGCAAGATTGCAACACCGATGGAGCTTAGTACTAGTTGCAGTGACTGGAAGCTATTCTCGACAGAGAACGAAAGATTGTGATGGTGCTGAGTTATAGCTTGCTGCAACCAAGAACGGAAATTATTCCACCAAATTCATCACTCTGAGCAGCTGGCTAGTCTACAATTTCACAAGTAACCAAGATTCTACATAGAATAGCAAGACAGCTCGAACCAGTCACAAAGGCGCCAATCATAGCAATAACCTCGGTAATGTTTGTGGCTAATACACAAGGTCGGCTCTCACTTCCCCATTTTTATTTTGGGGAGAAGCCCCGATTAACTACTGTTTGTAATCTTTTTGCTCCGATTTCACCTCTTCACAAAAACAGCAATAGAGATGTTTATTTTGAATCATAATTTCTTTTTATATGCAGATGAACCTTCCCATACAAAACTGGTTGCATTAGGCTCTATTTGCCATGTATCATATCTGCTTACTAGATTATTTTAAGCCTGTGAGGCATTCAGGTTCCAAGTTTTGTTTGTTAGCTATACAATTTGTGCAGGGGCACAGTTAAAAGTGTGAGGCACCCTTTTTACTTCATTATCTAAAAGAACTAGATCTTAGAATAACTGTCCTCTTCTCTTCCTCCATGTTCTGTGCGCTGTTTTATCCTGCTTAGAATAACCATTGCTTTCTACCACAGGTAAACAAAGGCTGTATTCTTGAGGTGCCCAAGAACTTTAACAATTTCTAATTTCAGCAAAAATTCTGGTTCCTTTTTGTTTTCAGAGGTGGTCGGAATGGTGAACATGAGGAAACGAGACGTTGCGAACAGAGTCTTCCAAGAGAAAATGTATGCTGCAGTGCATCCGCTCACCAAGAACTACTGACAAAGTGTTCAGTAGTGGCATTGCGATTGTGTACAGGTAGTTTTAGCACTAGCATAAAAATGTTGATTATTTTATTTCATCGCCGCAAGAAAATGTTCATGACACGAGAAAGAATAAATAATTGTTTGTTACAAACTTTGTCTCCGCAATGGATGAATCTGGCGTATGGCTTGTCTGCTTTCCTGGTTCATCCACTCTACCATGTTGGACGAACCAGGATCACTCATTGCTTAGTCTGCGGCTCTGCCAACAAATGGCAGCACTGAATATGTTTAAATTTTGCTCCCATTTTGTTTGTGGCTAAAAACTTTATTTAAAGGCAACAAATATAATTTTTAAGACAATTAAGCAGATGAGGGTGAGAAATTCCCCAGAACTAAAAACGGTTAGAGGCTGACGACCCGACTTAAGATTCTGCAAGGCAGAATATCCTCCTCACCTTGGGGGAGGAGGAAACAGGCAACGGTGGACAGGGAAGGAGAGGAGAAAGCAAGGGAAAAGTGGAAAGCGCGAACTGGTCGTCGGCCTTTAAGGGGTTAAAGCCAATGAAAGTCACCTTTTTTTTTATAAATCTGTCTCTTGCATTATGCTGTTTTCTTTTGTTCTACTCTTCAGTTTGAATCTCCGACAAACAGACATGTTTTCACACTTGATCCATGCCATACATGTAATATCGTAGTATTTTAGTAGTCCAAAAAATAAAAACCATTAAACCCAACTAGACACTGGGGCAATGCATCAAAATTAAGCATCATGGTGGTTAGCGACTAGTGAAATGTTCACCTCTTAGCTTCCAAATAGTGCTGAAGACTACACCAACCCAGTGAAGTCATTGATCAGGGTCATTTTGGAGCGGCTTTCAGTGTACCAAAAAGTCCATTTTACAGCATCAAAAATACCCTTTGGAGCGCAACCGTGCAATTTGTTCTCATTTATTCTGCTCAAAATTCTCTGCTAATGCTTGTGTTGACTGTAGCAAGATTACTGAAGGTTCTCCTTGCATAGAATTTTGGGCGAGTTGGTGATGCATTAAAAAGAGAAAATGGTGCAAAAGGATGGCAGACCAGAGGAAGACAGTCCTCCCCTGGTTCGTCGCCATTTTGCACCATTTTCTTGTTCCAAACTCTTTGCCATTCTTGTATCGTCAGCGACTATAGTGTCCATTGTGCAGCTTGCAATTTAATTTCTCTGGATACGCAACTGGCTGGTTTGCAACGAGAATACCGTGGATATTGCAACGAGAAGCAACCTCTTTTTGTATACAAAATCTCTCTACCCCCACCAGGCACGTAGCCAGGATTTTGTTTTGGAGGGGAGGGGGGGGGGGGGGTGGGCCCCACTCATGACAAAATGCTGTATGAGGCGGAGGGGAGAGGTGGTTCCAGCAAAATGAGATATCAGGGGGGGTCCTGGGCCCCATGGGCCCCCCCCTGGCTACGTGCTTGGCCTTGGCCACTTTTGAAATGTGCCAATGTAAACATAGTGCATGGGTGAATGGTAATTTTAGATACGGAGTCCAAACATAACCATGCATTCCACCCAAAAATGTTTAGAATACAGTAATTGGTGTACCATATGCTTTAATTCGGAGTTATAATTAAGCTTTCCAGTTAAATTACGGTGTTTGTCATTTAATTAGGCACATTAATGACATTCTGCATGTACCCAGTCTCGTACGATAGCAAATCTTCATGTATCTACTGCACTCAAAGTCCTATGAACGATGTATTTAACATAAAAAAATTCCAAAGTACTAGCCAAAAGGATTTGGCAACCGAATTTGAAAACCGAATTTACGACTAATTGCACACACAGCTCGTTGGGACATAAGCGCCGCTGTTACCTTTTGAAAATTTTACTTGTCAAGTCGTTATATGGACACTTGCCAAATTCCATTTTTTTCTTTCAACCCGATGCATCCCCCCCTTGAGTCATACATGCTGCAGCGAAGCAATAGGCAGAATAGAGCCTACATAACATCACTGTCCCCACCTGACAGAAGGTCCACTGATCAAAGTCAACTAGCCCACCCAAAGAAACCTCAAACAATAAATATTGTGGAACAAAAGCACAGCAATAGTACACCAGTGAAATCAAATTGTGGCTTGCCCATGACCTCGGTTTGCCCTTCTCTCTGGCGGCCAGGGCACCTTGTTTGCACCGAGGAAGCTACGCTCATTCGTCCTCTCTTCCACCCCTCTTTTTGGTGAAGTGTCCCGTTCACGCAGTGGAAGCAACTTTCCCACTCTCCCCCATTGTCTGACCAAATGACTTCAGTGCAAGCTACGTATAGCCTGTTACCGCAAGTGATAATTTTGACAATTCAGAGGCCTACCTTAAAGGAGTCATGAAATGCTTCTCCAACTTTTTCCTGTTCACCTTTCCTCCTCAACTCATAAATCGCGCATTCTAGCAAACAGTTCAAGAAGACGGAAAGGGGGAGTCCCATCTTGCTCGGACTCTCGTTTGCGTAATCCCAGACACATCCATTCGCCTCCTAAAAGATAAACCCCTCGCTCAAAATTCAGACAAAAGTTGCTTTCCCCACCTCGTTCACCCCGAAGCTGACAGTGCTGTGGAAGCTACATTCTCCTTGGGCCAGCCACTTTTGCCACATGATCTCACTCTCTCGCGCATACCCATGCGCAGAGAATGAAGTCAGGTGGCAAGCGCGTAGCTTCCACCACAATGTCAGCTTAGGGGTGAGGGGAATAAGTGGTGTCCGGCGTCGTGCAACGTGCGTTTGGAGCCGGTGACGCGCTCGGGGTCCGCAGGTGTATCCCAGAGAAAAGGCAGAGAGCTTACGAAGGGAAGGAGGTACGAAATAGTCCGCAGTGTTTTCAAATTTTCGTACCGAAAGTCAGGCTTTTGACTTTTTTTCTTTTGGCCCACTGAACGATGTGCTATTAGTAAAATCCCAATATAAATTGATTTATTCCAGCCCAAAATTCGTTTCATGCGCCCTTTAATGACCATAGTGTAGCAGGGTGTTACTAATTTCAGCAGTGAAAGGAACCTTTTGGCACAAAGTTGGCGCATACCCCTCGCATTCTGGCGAAATATATTTATTTATTTACCCTCAAGGTACAGAGTACATTTTAGAGGGGAGTGAGCAAACAATAAATAAACGTAATGAATCAACCAAGGGTGCTGTTAATAAGTGATTGCTTAAAGAGTGAAATATCATTAATATCTGCAATAGAAGCGGGAAGGTGGTTCCAGTCAGTCGATGTGCGAGGTATGAACGAGGTGCTGAATTTGAAGGTGTTAAAATTAGGTATGCCTACCTTTGTGAATATGGTCAAGACGGGATGAACGGTAAGAGGGCTCGAGCATTAGTTTCAAACGGAGAGATGGGATGTGATGATAAATTTTGTGAAACAGGCATAAACGAGCTGTTTTGCGCCGAGACGACAAACTGGGAAGTGACAAAGTTAATTTCATTGATGTTACACTGGCTGTACAATGATAGTTAGATAAGATGAAACGAACGGCTCGGTTTTGTGTAGCTTCTAATCTGCTGATAAGACCTTGGTGACCAGGGTCCCATATGGATGACGCATATTCTAATTTAGGACGGACTAAGGACTTGTATAAGGTTAGTTTAAGAGAAGAAGGGGCTTGAAAAAAGTTTGGGTTTATGTAACCCAACGTGCGGTTAGCATTACTTACAACATATTCGACGTGTGTATTCCAGGTAAGGTCAGAGGTTATATGGACTCCAAGGTATTTATAACATGGACCGTATTTGCCACTGCAACTGCATCGGCACTGACGGTGCAGAGGGCACACCTTCCAATGTTATGCCACGGCCCCCCAATCTACGACCGCAGTCGCTGTTTCTGGATCAGTTCCGTACAACTAAGAACAATCTGGGGGTGGCTCCAGTTTTTTATTCACAGTCCCGGTTACACCCGGACTAGAACTTGGCATCCGGTCGCACAGTGGTGAATCTGGGCTGGTGGAAGTTGCGGTTGATCCTCGACGGGAGAGGGAACTTGATCCTGCTGTCCTGCAGCGCCAGAAACAAAAGGGGGACACTGTCAGCGACGCTCCTTTTCGATGCGGAGAAGGCAGACTAGGCAATCTTTTGGCAGTGTTGGCACATGGTTCAGTGCAAAGCTCCCAAGTCAATGGAGAGCATGCATGCGACAAGTGTCAATTTCTTTGGCACCGTTTCTGGCCAACTGCAACAGTACAATCGCTGCTGGCAAATGGTACGGGTGCATCTGGAGACCTCTGGAAATACACCCATTTTCATTCAGGTAGTTCTTTTTGTAATAAAAGGTCTTTTGGGTCTGTTGGAAAACTTGGGCAGGGAAGTGCATTGTAGCATTCAAACTAAGTATAAGCGTTATTGCTAAAAAAAGAGAAGTCAGATACATGGAACCATCGGCCTACCGTAACACACCTGACACATTAATACAATTGTGCAAGTGTCCCCGTTTATATAAATTGCATAACAGGCCAAAATACAGTGCACAACTGTTAAATAAAACATGGTAGTAAAAAAAAAAAAAGTACCTTCTGCTTGCAGAATTTGACAGCACCACGCCAGTTTCTTCTTTGAGCCCTACTTCCTGCATCCATTCTCAAAGAATTGGGTTGATTTAACTAGGGTGCCTCAATGTCCTTTTGTTTAATAAGAAACAAAAGGGTGCCATAGAACAGTCAGCGCTTAAAAAAAAAAAAAAAAGTTTAATGTTTGGAACGAAATGGTTAGATGTCAGCAAGGCACTCTACATTTAAGCACTTCGAGGCTCTTTTGCATCCACCAAAAACATGTTCTGGCCAACCAATGCCCACCATAATTTTTCCGCAGTTTAGACCAAGCCTGTAGTCCCGAGTAATAGCTCAATAATACAAGGCGCCTTCCTGGAGACGACTGTCAACTCGTGCACCACCCTCAAAGACACGCATACACTACATTAACTGCAACTCCAAGTGAAGCACGTACGTGGAACTGCTTGATGTGGGGCCTCCTGCACTTGGCGGCCGCAATCTCCTCCACGCGGATGATCTGGATGGACGACGCACGAGCGCTGTGGCGGGCACCCATGTCGCGGTCTGTACACGTCCGGACAAAGCGGTGTTGTTAGCGCAACAGTATAACTTTCAATACGAGAAAGAGAGCAGCCAGAGGCAGAAAGCACTCACAGCACTGGGTGACGGCAGCAGCCACGGTCATGTCACGGTACTCCCGGTACATGTTGTGTGTGCCACTGCGAGAGTTGTATCGCAGCCACACTCCGAAGTTCTTCACTTTGGTCGGGCTCTTGTCGTAGATCTGGGGAACACGGAGCATGCGGGACAGTCTTTTCAGCACAATGCTCAAGAACAAGTCACCTCCCTCCCCCCCTCAAAAATCAGTAAAACCTGTAGGTATACAAGGCAGTCACTAGTTTCATTTTGATTAATTTGTTAAATCACATTGCAAGGATGGAAGCTGTATTGATTTTAGCCTAAAGTACTGTTTCACTGGAAAACTCTACCGCTTCGCCTGCTCCCGCATGGAAAGGAAGCAGCTCCACTCAAACCTCAACTCTCCTTTCAACCACGCAAAGAGTGTAGGGGAAAGACAACCTAAGCACTTTAATACTGATTTCTATCTTTCCTTCAAGCTTATTGCCGTGCGGGTGCACAGAAACACCAGAATTATGATTACAGCGTTGCACGGCATTATAACGACAACCTCGCAAACTTTACGTGACCGCATAGTGTCGGCGAGTGGTTCAACGCAAGGTCCACAACGGTGTAGTGAACGTGCATGCGACAAACGCCGTCGGCATTGCTCTTGCACTGTATCTGACCCCCTGAGACTCGCAATGCCTCAGTGGGTAAATGGGACGGTGCTGCTAATTGAGGAGAGAGGCAACGAAGCACATACACGACGCAGCGACACGATCTCGGCGCGAGTCTTCTTCATCTTCTTCAGCTTGCGGGTGAAGTACCAGTATCTCGACTTGGCTACAATCTTGTCGGGGGCAAAGATGTTCATCTTGTACAGTGGGGGGTGCTTGAGCTTTTCGGACGGCAAGGGCCGTCCGATGATCTCGTACTGTTTGAGCTGCAGAAAAGAATGACAAAGAATGAATGCAAGTTAAGTAGTGCACTCGGGGCATTTCTTGACCGCTTGCAACAATACCTGTTTCTGATCCTTTCGTGAGCAATGGGAACGAGTAAATGGCACACACAGGTTAGTTACCACGTCATATTCAGTCTTCTATCAAGATTTAAAGTTGTGTTCATTGGCTTTTATCAAGCAGAGAACAAGCCTTCTGTCAAGCGACAATTCATCTATCGGCTTTACACAGGTACTCGATCAGCCGAAGAAGTTCCAACACTCGTTTTCCACCTCAAGAATCGCAGTAAAGTTTAGCTCGTGCAGAGCGTTACTACTTGCCTCCTCACGAGGTAAATTCAGATACTTGTGCCTGTACTTAAGATCAGCTACTTGATCAAAACCTTGATATTAGAAACCTAAGCAGCAACGCTATTCCCCTGACAGCTAAATCGTCTAAGAACTTCCCGCAGAATATAAGCTATCCACAAAACTTGCTTCCTTCAATTCACGACAAAACAGAATTTATTATCTGCGAACAAATACAATGATACAATGACAGATAATCGCTGCGGTGTGGTGGACCTGCACGTTCGTAGCTTCCAAACCTGACATACTGATCGCATTTTTGACATACTGATCGCATTTTTTTGTATTTCCCCCGGATCAAGTAGACGACGCGTGCTTTAATTTTCGGTAAACGCCACAAGCGGTTTTTAGCTGCACGTCACAGTGCTTGAACCGACCAAGATCAACGCTACCGACAATGTGCACGATGGGACAGAATGTGCAAGACGAAGCAAGGACGACAGGAGGAACTTCCTACGGCGGCCAATGAATCGTATAAAAAAAAAAACTTGCATAAGAAGCTATAGCGACTTTGCACTACTCACAAGTAGAGTTGGAAAACTTTAGAATATGGCAAGAATAGTGGGGAAAATTATGTAGCTGCCTTTAGGCTTAGTTCGCCCGGCCGCAACACGTGGACACAATACGTTAAAAGTTAAGCGAAAGGAACATTTCTATATGTGCCGAAACATTAACTGTAGAAGCTTCTATAGTTAAGGCTACGAAGTAAGTTCAATTGCACCTGTTTAGTAGGTGTTTAATTGCAAAAAAGTAAGATTAAAAACACTTACAAGACCGCTAGCCTTCATCTTGATGGCGTTTACCACAAAAAGGATCCACGTGCAGACCGCACCAAATTTCTCGAATATTTTTAATTATTAATAAAAATGTTTACGCAACTAAATTTACTTTCACAAATTAAAAAATATTTAAAAAAGTATAAATTATGGTTTTGTAAAAATAAATATTGTACATTTTATGCGGTCTGGAGAAAGTTGTCAACGAAACATGGCGATATGTTAAAGAGGAGGCATGGCTTTTAATTCATCGATACTAATAAATGTTTGGAACGCTAATATAATAGTAACCTCTTGCGACTGAAGCGATATTCAAAATAGCACCTCATATCTTCGATATTTCAACCACAGTTATCTCTCGAAGCTACGGTTGTCGGCGCGCGCAAGGGTCGAGCTGATACCGCATGTGCCTTGTCGGCAGGAAGAAGAATGCGGGGCTCGTCATCGTTGACATCTTTTAAAAAATGACTGTAAGTAAACGTTGACACAATGTACCAGGTCATGTTTGCGGGCTACACCTACGTAGCTATACAAGAGGCCGAAACTAGGGATCCTTGAACGTAGTGTATCTGAACAGATTGCACGTGTGGTGTGGTGGGCCGTTCGGAGGCTAATCCTTTCGATCTAAATGGAGACCTCAGTGTAATTTTCCTTTGCAGCCCTCCGCGCGAATATTCGAGCTGCCGCTTCGGAAATGCTCAACTTTAGAGGAGCGCGACCTGCGCGGTTTGCACGAAAAGCGCAGTCTATTTATTTGGCTTTAATATTAGATCCGTTTATCGATCTCATCTAGTGACCTGTGATACTCCGTAAGTTATGGCTAGACTACAGATCATATGCCTCGCCATGACACAAAGTACACATCTGGTGTAGCACGATTGCCCAGCGTGCAAAATCCCAGTCGCAAAAGCTCCGCGTCTTTAGCTCCACGCTTTGAAAACTCCGCGTTCGATTACCCCGTCCCGTGTTCCCCCCGTGCCAAAAGCCCCGTTCTCACTGCCCCCGTCCCACCCTCTTCGCGCTTCAACCAGCGTTCTATGTCTTTACCAAGGTAATCCGTTGAGGGTCTGCAGACGCTCTTTTAAAAGAAACAACAAAATAAGGTTAACTTGAACCGCAGAAAAACTTAGAATGATGTACTACAAGTGGCCAATCGCATAACTCTGCATAACCCTGCTGTCATAGAGGTATACTCGGACATAGAAATATAGACTTTCTACCTAGGTGGATACAAATATTTGTAGAACGACGTAAGAATGGAAGTGGTGTTTGGTGCTGGATATGTAATAATTATCGCGCCATAAGCCACGGGTTAGCAGTTTTGACAGAACCGTCGGAGCTGTGAATCTGTGCATGCTGGAGTCAACGAAAGCTTTATTTCAATGCTTATTCATAAGAACTGCAACTTCAAATGTTTTGCCAGCGACTGATATTCTCTGTTTGTTCTCACTTCTAATGTGTATAGCGTACGCCTGAAGAACGGGAAGCTTCATCCAATTATTCCTTACTTGAGTCCCGGGTACGACATGATTGTTACACAAGCTCGCGTGCACGCTTACTGTCTCTTAGTTAAAAGCAGAATGCTCCGCCCTCGCGCTGAGGACCGGGCCACCTGACACGGCAGATTTGCGTCATGGGCTTCTGAAACTGGAGCTTTTGAAAGCGGGGCGAAAGGGCCGGGGCGTTAGGCGCGGGGCTACACATCACCTCCGTATGCTGCAGGACAGTTAGCTTCCTCACATTTGACTGCCGATTCATGTGAATAATTTTGTGGTAACTGGGGTGTCTTGGTAATTTATTGTCAACCATGGGTTGTGGTGTTTGTGTCTGTTAGTTCTGCTATCAGGCATGATCACTTTAACAATTCCTTTGAGGGCTTTGTCTGTCCAGTGCTGTTCTTGGTTCCGAGTCATGATCTTGGCTGCCACTGGTTGTTCTGCAGAGTCTCCAATTCCTGAAAGATGGATGTTGAGGTGATTCAAGGGTTCCTTGCTCAGGGGGACCAATCTGCACATGCCAGGGTAAGCTGTCCTCCTCTAAAATTGATCGCTTGGCTAACTGGTGACTACTTTACTGCTGCTAGTTGTATTAGTTGCACAAGTGAGGTGCCATGAATGTTGTACTAACAACAGTGAAAATAAAAACTCGTGGCACATGCCCCGTGGGACGCGCTCGAGTGGCACTGTATGTATGCATGCGATGGCACATGCCCACAAAAAATAGAGACGACGGACGTAGTTTGACCTGTATAGGGGGGACTGACCAGTTATAAATCAAGTATAAGAAAAGTTGTCTTCTTGCAGCTTCAGGGGCCTAATTTTATGTATTTATTTTGTGTTGCTAGGCTCTCCAGTATTTTGAGCAGCTCAAGAACTCTCCTAATGGCTGGCAGCTGTCCATGCAGATGTTGCTGCAGCCATCAGTCCAGTGAGTTGCATCCCTCGGTTTTTTCCCGTTAAATTGTGCCTCTAATGGAAGCTGCTGTCAGCTCCTTCGAGTCGCTGAATGTGTCTTGGACTTCTTTAAAATAACAACATTTCATTCTTAGGGATGACTCTGTCAAGTTCTTCTGTCTCAGCGTCCTAGAGCACTACATAAAAACAGGGTAAGGTCCCGTAATCTTTTGTTTTACGCGGAGCCTGTGCATTAATGGGATATGACTTGCAGGTATGAAATTGCAAAGGAGAATGATCAGCAGGCCATGCGGTCCTTTATCAGCCAATGGATACAGCTCCAGGTAAGACCTTGAAATGCAAAAATACGGCCTATGTCGAGATTGGTTATGTGTTGTTTGCAGTTTGTGGAACTCGAAAAGCTGTTTCTAATGTACAGGTGCAATGGCCTGGTTTATAAACAATTTAACGAAATAAAGAATGAGCATATCCCTTAAGATTGAAACCTCGACATCCCTGCAAGAGGAGAGGGAGGCGAGTATACACACTAGAAATAAAAAGTATCTGAAAAGCTGAATTCGTAAAACTCCACTGAGTGTGATCTGTCGTGTGGCACAATGTGGTCTCAATGAAAGGAAATGTCATTAGAATTTAAAGACCTTTGAGATGCTTGTATTGGGGTTTGAGCAAAGCTTCGGGTTTCTTTCATTTGTTTGGTACTGGTTTCTCAACGTCACACATTTTCACGAAAACTAGGCACATTCCTTCATCGAGACATAATGACTGGGCGGCAGGAGTAAACCGCAAAAAACAATTCTTTGGGTTACCCTTTTGGAAAACCGAGAAAATTACATATTTCAGCGAAGTACATAAGAGAAAATTGCTTGGAACTTACCTGACTCCCAATGGCTTTTCTATAGTACTTGTCTCCTCTTTTGAAGTATATAGTACTGTCATATGTAGCATTCCATACACTAGTGTTTTGAGAGATTGGTGGCATGCCGGAAGAGCATCGTACCAGCGTGCGGTCGTGAATCATAACAGTGGTACTGCACTGGTTAAATTTCTCATCTAAACGGAGACACCAGACGCCCAGTGAAGCAAACTAACTTCTCGCTGTCTAAAGAAACACACTACCCAATTATGTTAGTTTTTAAGGATTTCTCAAATGTTTTTTGGTGTTTTAAAGTGCACGCCCCCGTTTTTTTTTTGTTTTTTTTTTAAAGTTGCGGTGGTTGAGCGGGGGGGGCTTCAACCCTTTTCCCGCGGGTCACGTGTCCGTAGGTATACTCCCCCACTGCGGAGAAGGTGTTCATCCGCAACAAGGTGGCGCAGCTGGTCTGCTGGGTGTTCCTACTGGACTACCCGTCCCGGTGGCCGGACTTCTTTCTTGACCTGCTCAACACCCTCTCCCTTGGTGGGCCTGCCATAGACATGTACCTTCGCATCCTGCTGGCCATCAACGGGGACATTGCCGACAGGGACATTCCGCACACCGCCAAGGTACCCTCAACGCTGCATCAACTGTGTACAAAGTGTTAATTTTTTTTTTTTTTTATTATTATTGTCGTAGCAGAGCAGGCTCGCTCTGCTATGACATTCCATTGTAGTGCGACGAGCCCACACAAAGCTAAGGTGAGGGTGACAGTGCTTCATGAAGCCTCTATGAAGGCCATGCCTTCATATGGGACAAGCGACGCTATAGCATTTCAAGTAGTGTGCAGAAACGCAGCCTCGATTTTTGTCATAAATAAATGGAATACTAAATAAATGTGTACCTAATTATGTGGACTCTGTTATGGTTGTGCCAGAGCAGGCGGTAGCATCAGAGGCCAAATATGCGCCAGGACGTTACGCAGTGAAACCTCCCAAGTCGAACAGTTGTTGGTTCAAACTTTGCCACAAAAGGGCTAGAGGTTCTTCGTATCCCTATTTATATATTGTGAAGCGTGTATCGCAGAATGAAAAAAATTTATTTACTGAGTGAATTTTAATAGTGAATGACTCACTCGAAGTAGACTAAATAAAAGAGCCTGGAACACCAAACTAAACATCCTAGAGAGTCGACTGAAAGCATTTGGGGAGCGTTGGTGCTGGAGAGATGCACTTGCCTTCCGTCGGAGGCGCTAGCCCTTCCTTTCTTGCATACTTGCGATCCTGACAAGGCGCTCCATGCGGGTCTTTCCAGGAGGCCGATCGCAACAGGGTGCTCAAGGACACAATACGGGAGAGGCACATCGTCGACCTCGTCAACTCCTGGTACACCATCCTGGTGGGTGTCCACGTCTTTCCTTAAATTAAGGTGTCCGTAACGCGTCTTTGACTGGTGCATTTTGCATCCTACCCCAACTGTGCATCGAAAGCGGCCCCGAAGTGGCTGGCAAATGACGTCACAAAAGCCAGAGTGTCGTGCCATCGGGTGTCACGATCCTGACGGTTGTGCGTGGAGGCACTCGAAAAGGCCCGATCATGCTGAAAAAGCCCAGGGAGCACAAGATGTGTCCCACACAAACCACACTCCCTGTGTTGTTTTACAAGATTTTTCAGTATATTCATCTTTATTTTTCATTTATCTTTTTATTTATTTTTATTTTATTCTATTTTTATTGTCTTATTTATTTTTATTTATTTAGTATTTATTTTATTTACATCCCAAACCTGCCGCTGTCACTGGCGCTTTTGCATTCAAATGAAAACAGCGACCCATATGCACTAGCCACGCTGGTGGCTCTGTGGCTATAGCTATAGCGACTGCCACCGCACCGAATCATGACGCTTGTTCGTGACAATCTTCTCATAGAAAACGCCGCATAAAACACCTTCTGCATTAAAAGCGTGCGAGTGTTGCTATCGTTGCGGCATGTAACCTCCTGGCCACCGGTGCTTCTGTAAACCGTTAATTCGGAGGACGATCAGCAGCAGAACGGGCATCTGTCTTATCCACCGCTGCTGCTGCGACATTGGCAGGATCGCAGCTGATCCCCGTACTGCGAAGCATAGCTTCTTCAGTCGCTCTAGCGGCGACAACCGAGGATCCTAGGGTTCCGTCAGTGCATCGAGGGACGCCCCGTTGCAGACCTGCCAGGGCCAGGACCTGAGCCGGCTGTGCCTGGAGGTGCTGGGGGCGTACGTGGCCTGGATCGACATCGGCCTGGTGGCCAACGACCGCTTCGTGGACGCCCTCGTGCACTTCCTGTCGCTGCCCGCCCAGCGTGAGGCCGCCTGCGACTGCGTCTTCGAGATTGTCAGCAAGGGCATGGATCCCGCGGACAAGGCCCGCCTCGTCGAGTCCCTCTCGGCCGTGCTGCAGAGGGCCGGTGTGCTCGGCGTCTCGGAGGTGGGTATTCCTTGTTGCTGCCGCCAGTCGTGGCGTCTCGTTCGAGGGGCCGCATTGAGGCCCGTCCCCGCACTTGCATTTGCTTACGACCGAGTTCTTGCGATCTCTTACGCCGAGAGAGCACACTGGCGCCGTCCATGAGGTGACTGTAGAACTGCATTTCACTCGAGCGAAGGTTTCGTGCTTTTTCAAGATCAAATTTTAAAAAAAAAAAAAAATTTAATTTGACAAAAAAAAAAAAAAAAAAAAAAACGGAAATGCTGTGTGTTTTACAGCTACCCAATAGATAGCGCCAATATGTTCTGCTCCCGTCATAAGAAATTTTCAGAGGTTTTAAGGCACAAGGTCGTGAGCAGTCGTGAGTGTGTGAGCCAGCCTTTACTCGAAGAGAGGGGGAAGAGCTGGTTGATTACCGTTCACAGTGCCAAGTTCGTGCCTTATTCGAATACTGATCTCACTGTCTAGATGAGGACGGCTAGGCATCTTTTTGGGATGCCGGGCCTTTAGCACGTGCTCCTTGCCTTGTTCTGTGTACTGGCAGTATGTGCGCGCTCGGAGTTCGTGAGATGTCAAAGTGTTGTCAAAGCTGGGGAAGACCCGGCTGGAAGTGGGACAATTGAAAAACCTCCCTGCCAGTTTAGTGCCATCGGTGACTAGAGCAGCTTATTCCTAATGTCTCGAAAACAGTTAGCATAGAAGACGAGAGCAAGTACAAGACTGGACGCAACAAGCACCTTTTCCTGTCCGGTCTTCTACTTTTAAGACAAGGACAAGTAGGAGACTAGACAGGACAAGAACTTTTCTTGTCCAGTCTTTTACCTCTCCTTGTCTTTTGCACTAACTATTTTTGAGATATTTAACCTACTATGCCATCAACTTATATTGTTCTTTCTAATGTCACGAATGCGATTTCTTAACTTTCCAAGGTCTTCCCATTGTGGACACTTATGTAGCGATACCTTTCTTTAGAAGGGCCAGGTTGTGCTCTAGTTTCTTACATTACTGAAGAGAATTCAGACAAACTTCACTTTTTTATATTTTAGGAAGAGCTAAATTCAGGGGTCGCATTTAGACAGTTGACCTTAAACTGGGGCTCTTCCTTGTTCTGAAATGCATTCAATACCACTGGTGGCTAAAATAGATATTTATGTTGATATTCCCACAGATCTCTTATGATCACCGTCTAAACATAACTATATTTTCGGCACACTTCAGCTTTCTTTGTTTTATCCTTGCACGCATGGCTAGGGTAAATATTGACGTGGCCGGTACCCCAAAGCCACATGTTGATTGTCAGCTCCTCTGTCGTCTCTGCCTTCAGGCATTAGATCTAGCTTTTTGCTGCACGTCATTCTTTGAGCCATTGCCAGTTTGTTTGCAAAAAAGTGGAGCCTATTTTTGACCCTAGAAGTTGCACTTGTTGTGTCTCAGTAACCAGCTCATTGTATTGAAACCTCTTGTAATGGCTATCAATAGATAATGGCAATCGGCTACTCTGCCCAGAACAGAAGAAAAAGTGGTGGGCCTTTAGATGCGTCATATTTTTTTGTAGATATTTCTCGAGGGATCACTCTGTGAAGATGTATAGAATGCCATTCAATGTTTCGCTGAAAGATTATTGCTACCCTTGAGGACCCTTAAAAATGTGTAGTTATTTAACCACTTGACTACATTTTAGAAGTTCTTCGTGGACACCTTCTTGTGTGCCCTAAATCCATTTTTGTGACCCAGGTGGCGTGAAAAAAAAGATGCCCGTCCAAGCCCATTGTGTTTCAGTGTAGTGATTGACCCCCCCCATCCTCCCCCATTGTGTCTTGTCTAGGCTGAAGACGTAGACTTCCTCATCAAGCTCGCTAAGCTGGTCAATGGAATTGGGGTCCAGCTTCTTAGCTGCATCATAAAGTGAGTGCACGGGACCGACCTTTTACCTTTCTCTGTTGATGGCTGATGTTTTCGCATGGTTCTTAGCATCACAAATGACCGCTCCCTCTGTGAAGTAGTCAGTGACACTTTGTATATGGACCACGATTGGCCCATGTTTGCCCGAGTTAGGAAATACGAGTTACTTTTTATTCATCAAAGTTTTAGGAGGTCGGTGAGTTTTCTGAATGGCCCTTGCTAGTTCTTTTGCATACGTCCCCTCGATGAGTGTGCAGTGCAATGAAAGATATGACGGTCTGAAAGGATTGTACGCAAGCTTTGAAGGCTGTCTGACATGAGTTCTCTGCTTCGTTAGGGCTTTGTTGAACCAAAAAAAAGGGAAGACATTAATCCCTGGGAAACACTTATTTAAAGTGCATTGAGGACTTCATTGACAACACTGCTCAAAAAATGCTCTATATATGAAATAAAATTGCACTTTAGGGTACAGGTGTAGCAGTTATCGAAATTAATACTTCATTATGCAAGCAAAAATTCTCTCCCACCAAAGCACACATCTCCTCACATGCATCAATTCCACTGAAAGCAAAGAGCCTATTGCAAACATTGTGCAGCACACTGGCTGAAGGCAAACCTCCTTCAACATGCCTTTCCACAACGCAGCAGCTACCATTGTCAGCTGCAGCACACTTTCTGTGGTCATATGCAATTTTTTGTACAGTTCACGGTGCAGTTCCTTCGAATGCACAACTGTTTGCTTGTGTTTTTTCAACAGAGCAAAAGAAGATTGTTGTGTTGTGGAGGATTCTTGCATATGATATGAAATCAGTGCAATAAATTTAAATTATAGATTTCAACTAAAAGTCTAATACCACGCCGTAGCATAGAGACACATTCATCATATCATTTCTTTCTGGTTCATGGTTTCACATTGTGTTCTTTATTTTTAGACAATGGCTTGCTAGCAATATCTCTAGCTGATTAGTTTTACCATGGGCTGATTTTGTTATCTGTTTACATTTGCCAGACATCTAGGGGGACCGTAATTCTCTAAGTAGAAAACGGGGCAATCAAGTTTAAGGCGGGTGCTAAAAAAAAAATTTGTGCCACTATTCATTTGAGCGTAGAAACGCATTGTTTTGGAGTTGGGCAAGTGACTTTCGTCACTGTTTTATTGTTGCCAAACTAACATGTCAAATTCAGTAGTACTACAAGAAAAATCTGGCAGATTTGTTGGCAGATGTAACGAGGGATAGAGCTCAGAGTTGTGCTGTATGGGAAATAATGTTTTCATTGTACCGTATTTACTCGCATATTGAATGCACCTCCCACAACGGGTACCAATATTTGGACTTCTTTTTTTCCCTCCCATGATGAACGCACCTCCAATTTTCGGCTCCGCGAGTTTAGAATTGCGTCCAACTCACCAAGCCAAATTTCTTTTGCCGCCAAGCGGTCAGGCCAAGTCAAGCAAAGCCAAGCCACTCTTGCAATGGCTGCAAGTGCGTAGTTGTGCAAGTGATCAACCGTGAAACCGAGCGGCGCACACACTTGACGAAGCTTGGGTCAAGGGATTGCCCAGCCCCGGACATTGTTCGCCTCTCAGGTGCATTGATGTCAACAAACACGCCGTCGTCTGCAGTCCTCTTTCGGACAGTGAAATCGTGAAAGTGGTTAGGCCTAAGAACAGTCGCGTTGCTCTTCATGCTGAGTGAGCTTCGTAGGGCGCTTTTCCTTCGGCAAAAGGCACGCCAAAAGCGCCGTAAGAATGTTCGCAATTTATAAAGCATGGTTACTGTGGTGCGCCTCTGACCAGTCGTGGGTGCGCCTCTATCAGTGGAGACGTGCCACAGTACCTTGCCATGTTATATTGGCACCTAATATGACATTCGCACAAAGTGTGTAATTGCAGAAATTTTACCCCGCGTAATGAATGCCCCCCCCCCCCCCCCCTTCCCCCCCTCCCCAAATATGTGTCAATATTTCGGGAAAAAAAGTATGTTCATTATGCGAATAAATATGGTATGTCTATTTCTATAAAATTACATCTCTAGGAGATAAACATTCATCCAGTTCTCTTCCATTCGCTTTGTACTGATTTCTCAACTGCACGTTCCCACAAAAACGGGACATGAGACTGTTTTGAGACAAAATGACCGTACGATGCAGATGAACCTCTAAAACGGGATTGTCCTGCCCAAAACGGGACGTCTGGTCACCCTACACATATTCTATACCCTTGGGATAAATATATAAATGGCTATACTTCTCTATAAAATGCGACGGAAGCTCATTTCGGAAAGTAACCAAACGATCGAAATTCTGCCGGGGCTCGCGGATGCCCTTCGCTGGATGGGCATTAAAACCTCCGAAATTGATGGATCGATTGACTTCTTCATAAAAGACACTCCCAGGCAGTGAACGGGCAGACGGTCTTGATATTTTTGGCCGCATCCACGGAACTTGTGTCGTTTGTGCTAAGACCGCATAGCCAATGAAGGAACCCCGACTCTGCCAGGCTGTCGAAGAAGGGCGATGCAGGCAGCCGGGAGCTGGCCAAGGCGGAGCTGTGCTCCAAGATCCCCCTGATGCTGCACTTTCTGGGCAACGAGGACGACGACGTGTCGCAGGGGGTGGTCGAGTTTGCACGCGAGTACATCCAGTACCTCAAGCATGAACCCCAGGCCTACGGGCAGCAGGACAAGGCGAACATGGAGGCAAGTGCTCGGGCCGCTACCGCACGTTTGCCTCGCTGCCTCGTTTGTATCGACCGCAGTGAGCTCGTTCGATTTACCTGCACCAGCTCGCACCAGAGCCACTGTATATGGCAGCTTTAGCAGCCAGAGTAAGGCTACCCTTTTCCTTGTGCCACCTCTCACCGTAATTCATCACAGCCTGTGCCCTAGCAACGGACCGTGCCGGCTCAGTTTCCACGGCGACCGACAGAGCCGACGATTGCTGAAGTTGTGTTTGAATATTTCGGGGCATTGCCGGTGTACTTGTCATCTGCTTCTTTCGCTTCTCGAATAGCACGAAATTCAACTTGTCAGTGTGCGTCCCCGCGTGCATTCATTGTACGGCATTTAATCAATGGATGGAGTGATTAAATGGGCCACGTTAATAAAGGGGTCACCAGGTGCCGCTAGCAGTTCATTCCACCAAATCTAAAATGGAGATCACTATTGGCACTTTTGACGTGCATCTAAGGTCTTTTTGCGGTGTGTCGCTATTCTGGCATCTAAACCTGCCACATACTGTGGCTCTAGCCTGTACTGGTGCAGAAAAGTGTAGTGCAGTGCAGTGCACCTCCGGTTGTGTTTTGATCTAAGCTGCACTCAAATGTAAAATACAGCATGTGCACCGAGCACAGCCGATTCAGGAGGTGCAGGTGAATCGAACATAGCAAGTGTTGAAGCCGACGAGATACGGCGGGTGGGCGGGCAGCGTCTTTGATGTGGATGCAAGACAGAGAGGGGTGGGCAATGCAGAAGCCACAAGTGGAGCTCAATGTCTCATTGAGTGCCTTGAGACTTTACACTGTCCGCCCTTAAAATGTTCTCTAGCATCCAATGTTTTGGGAAAAAACAGGTTGCACTTGGAAACAGCTTATAACAAGCCACGTGACTGGCTTTTTATAATCGCTTCAAAGCACTCGGAAGTGGATGAAAGACGTCGCTTTCTTCCTCCAGAAAAGGTGTGCGCGGTGAAAGGCAGAGACAGCATGTCCTTGACCCTGTAATTTTTAATATTACTCACAGTGGGAGATGCAATTACTTAATCGGCTTGAAACCCACCTACTGTCGGCTCACAGAAGTTCTTCTCTGTCTCTTTTCAGGCCGTACTGTACATAATAATTAACAAATACAAATATGATGACTCCTATTTATTTGAATCCCAGGTGAGTCTCACCTTTAACCTTGCTTCTGGTGCACTGCATTGGTGCTTAGGAAATGCTTGGGGATTCATCGGTTTTATGTTTCTTACAGGGTGAAGATGAAGCGCTGTTTATAGAATATAGGAAAACGCTGAAGGTGCTGTTCGACAATGTGGCTCAGCTGGTAAGTAGACATTTCATGCTAACTGCTGTCTCCAGAACTAGCGTATATCTGCACATTCAGCCTTCCTCTTTAGAAGTGCAAGTGAGGTCTTTTTAAGCTCCCACCCCTCAGTTTTGTAACATTCGTAAGATATACAAAGAACATATCTTTACATATTGTAGACCGAAGGAGCGCCCATCTTCCAGTCATACGTGATAATCTTCAAATTTTGAGTGGGCACTTGCTCAGGATTTTACAGCAGCCTGAAGGCAAGGGAGTGGTACCTTTGCACTGCGAAGGTAATGAAGAACACGACACTATTTAGTTGCAGCCTCGGTTCTCATTTTAAAGTAGATTATTGGGTTTTCAATTTTTACTTTTGAAATAATTCCGCAAAACAACCTATTATCTTTTTTCCCCAAAAAAAACACTGGCATTTATCAATATATTTTTACCTTTGAGCAATTAAAAATACACAACTATGGAAAAAAAAAAAAAAAAAAAAGGTGTATGAAAGTAAGCAAAGGTGTGGTTAGTATACAACATGAAGCATGTAATCACCTTTATTTGGTTGCCTCAGCTGTTCAGATTTCGTGCTTTCGAAAAAGCAAGTGCACACCAGAACTATGTCTATTTTGCACACCCTCGTTATAACATAGCACGAATAAAACAAAAATAAACGTCAAACAGTTGACAGAGTATCTGGTACTGTCTACTTTTTCTACCGATTTGCCAAGGTACATTTACCGGCGCTATTTGATAAGTGCCGAGAGCCAGAGACCCTCCCTCTAGCCGTGCCGAGATCCATTACTTTAGAGTAATTCCAAGGGCTGTAGCTATTCATGCATTTCAGCATGTCCTTCTAGCTTGGCAATCCCCAAACGTGACTACCCTTCTTTCAGGACAAGGAACTGACACTGGCGCTAGTGCAGGGCATGGTCAGCACAACACTCCAAAACTGGAGGGGTCTCCCCTTCCAAGACATTGAGGTGGCCATCTCCTTCTTGTACCTCCTCGGTGAAGCCGTACCTGTGAGTCCCACTTTGTCCTTTCTTCCCTAGTTTCTTGCCCTCAAAGCATGGGTGATATACACTGCACGACACTTGGTGCGAACACATTGTCATCAGTTTTTTCTTTTTCTTTTTTTTTTTCAGTTTTATTTTGTAAAGATATGTTAGGCATTTAAGTTTACGTCTTAGGTTAGTGCACTAAGCGAGCACTTTCCACCACCGTGGTAGATTTTATGACAGCCTTAGGGTTTAGGAGAGAAACTGGAAAAACCGGCAATTGCTTGTTCATGCCAACAGTGTTCTGCAGTGTTCACTGGGAGATACCCCTCATTTTGTACACCTTTAAAGTAAAAAGTTTTAATATTTAAATAACTTAAACTGCAACTCCGCTCAATTCCAAAAAATTTAGGCTTACATGTAATTCAAATTCACAAAGCACTACTAAGCAACTCTACGTCTTCGGATTCACGAAATGTGGAATGTTATTTGTGTAATCCTAATTTAAACATCAGCTGATACCGAAACCGAAACTTCGGTTGCATCAAACAACATTGGTCTCGGGTTGTCAGAGTCATGGCCACGCCACGTCAAACCACGTGGTCTTGTGGCGTTCGGGAGGGAGCGAGAAACAGGACACGCGACGCGGGCAGGTCGCTTCGCATGGCGCGGACGGTGATGGCCCGGGGGGGAGGGAGATAGGGAGAAGACAAAGGAGGAGAAGGGGAGCGGAGAAACAGACCAATAAGCGCGCAGGGCAGCGCAAACTAGCGCATCCGCGTTACGGTGATCACGTGAACGCCCGGTCAGCCAACACCGGGAGGAGAAACTCATGACGGCATCGTTCAATTTCGCTCTGAAAAGTAAAAACAAACAAAACGTGAGTATGACGTAGTCATGCCTCTGACGTAGTGGCTCAATGTCGGCTGCTCCAACTCCGTGGCATTGACTGCTCTGATGATTGCGCCTCGCGCCGCACGCTAGAGTTGGCAGATTTCGGCGACTTGGCTAGCTTGAAGGTTTGCTGGCCAGTTTATTAAATATATAAACGGAATTAGATCGTAATATTTGACATGGGGTCTTCTTATATGAAACTGAAGAGGGCTACATAGTTTTCTAAATATCAAAAATGAAGCGGAGTTGCCCTTAAAAAAATGAGATTCTACCATGGAAACCCCTTTTTGAATATACAAACATACACTACTCTTTTGTTTGTTTGCACCATTGGAAATTCACTCACTTGACATATGGACTCACTTGACGTCCAGAGTCACTTGAATTCCCGAATTGATTGACATCTGGAGTCACTTAACATCCTGTCATTTGACTTCTAGCCATTCAGAAAGTCAAGCAAAGAACTTGCGGTTGGCTGAGCTTTCCATTCATGTTTTTGCCGCGAGCACTCGATGCTACTAGAAAGTGACAAAATTAACAAAGCTGTGTAATACAATGTATTTGTGATGACAGCTGGTGTATTTAAGTATTACAAAATTCATAATGTAATCCTCTATGGAAAATACTTTTCTGTGGGTGAAATGTTTATTTGCGAATTCAAGTGTCTTTATGGGGGCTCTATTTGGCTTGTTCTCTTAACTGGAACTTACTTATCCACTTGGCCAGAATTGAACCAAATTAGTGTTTTGCTGTTACTTGTTGAACCCATTTGCATTGAAGCATGGAAATGTTAGGTTGAGGTTGTCATGACTGAGTTTATGAAATGGGCACTGTATTTCTCTTCTACCTCCACAGGGTTTCCACTGCAATCAGTTCGCAGGAGGCTCCGACATGGTGTCTCCGATGTGTGTCCTGATGAGGCTGGTACGTGTCTCAGTTTTTCTCCTTCACAAATCTCGTTTCAGTCGCATAGCTTGGCAAAACATTAAGCACGTTGTTCCCTGTTTGTGGTGCCCCTGCAACTTCGCCTCATAATCTGTGTTGCGTGCATTCAGGTTATGCAAAGCGTTTCTCTTCTATTTCTCACATCAGTGTACTAGGCACTATACGAGGAGTGAATAGTGCTAGTGGTGTCCCTGTAACGAAGTTGTCTTTTGGTACCCTGCATCCCGGTGATGTATTTCAGTCAAGTCACCAGCGGTGTCACTAGGGGAGGGGAAGGGGAAGGGGAGGGGGAGGGGGAGGGGGAGGGGAGGGGAAGGGAAGGGAAGGGAAGGGAAGAGAAGAGAGTTGCGGCGGGCCCCTGCGTTTGGTGCCGCTGGCCCTAGTAATACCACTGCCTGGCATGGCCTTCTTTCCTCGTGCAGCTCATTTCGTCCGGCGTGAGCACATATGGCCATTCCGCAGTGACGCTGCAGTTTTTCGAGACGGTGGTGCGTTACGAAAAATTCTTCAACCAGGAGCCTCAGATGATTCCAGATGTTCTCGTAAGTGTTTTTGGCTTCATTTTTTCTCGCTGTAATTCTGCGACATTTTCGAATTTTTCCATGAATATGAATATGTCCCACTATATATAAAGGGCATCCACTAGCTTTGTGTTAGCTGTGTTAGACCCCTGGCAGCAAGTGCACAAAAGAATCTTGGCAGTCCGTCGCAAAAATTTTTGTATGCTTATCTTTCGTGGCAGACCTTCATTCGTGAGCGTGTGCTGTAGAGGCTTGTTTCACTGCAGGAAACGAAAGGTAAAACTCGATAGCATAGTCCTATCAAAAACTAAGAATTCATTGTGCTGAAGTAGGTGGCTCTCACCTGCATATGATTTGTTGGACGACTCTATGCACATTAGTGTCTTGCCCCACTCAAATAAATGTTGCCTACCATAAGGTGCCGGGCATCTGCCCATTTCACAATAGGGGCACACTCCTCAATTTCGTACATTTGGAAAATAGTACATAATGAACACATTTTTTACATATTGTTGATCTTAAGGAGTACCAATCTCCCATTTTTGCATGATTATCTCAAAATTTTGAGATGTGTCCTTTATGTTTTGTGGTAAATCTATACTTGCGACATCTCTTTCTTGAAATCCATTGTCTGAAATGAGCACTCATTTTCGATTTTCTCCGCAGTGTGCGGTCGAGGGATGGGATAGAAGTAAACAAGGCCTTGCTGTGCATCCCCGTCGTGCATCTTGCAAATTGTTTTGCAGGTGGCATTCATGGACGAGCGTGGCTTGCGGCACCAGAGCCCAAGAGTGCGGAGCCGAGTGTCCTACCTCTTTTCCAAATTCATCAAGTGCCTCAAGTATGTCGCATGTGCTTTTTTAGCTTTACATCTTGGTTCGTAGTGGTGTCTATTTGAAAATGTCAGCATTTTTAGAAGGGCGTAGAATAGTAGTAAGTCGGAGTACAGCCAGTGTTAGTACAACCACTGATATGACCATTAGGCTATAGGTAGAATCACCAGTGAAAGCTATGTGCCGAGCAGTATAAGAGCAGCAAAGATTACGCAGCTTTCCCCTATATCAAGAAGCATATTCTTAGCATACATGCAAACACATTTCTCTTATTTTATTGTAACTTCATTTGTGAAAGTCGCACAAGTTTTGCAGAGCAGACATATATTGGGGCAAAAGAAAGTAGATGGTAAATACTGCCAGCTGTCATGTAACACATAGGATCTCGAACATAGTTCTCTAGAGTACCTAGAGGGGATCCCTGAGCTAGCTCCTCAATTTTTTCGCTCCTAAGTAAAGTGTTCTGCCAGTTTAAGCTCTCTTCTAGAAGATCTGAACCATCAATTGATGCATGACTATGTGCCAAAATCTCCCTAGTATTGTTCATTATTGTTTACAAGGTTTGCATACTTCTGCACTGCGTTATCACATCCAGTGCTTAGACTGGGTAATGGCTGTCAAGGCAGATTGGTGATCCTCGGGGTCACCTAAAGTAGCAGGTCTTGGGTTTGCCCGCTTTTCTGTCTAGACTGATCTGCCCTTAATGAAAACAGAGCACACTACAAACAGAGGCACAAAAAAACAGATACGACAGACGAGCACTCTCGTACGTCTATTCTTTTGTCCCTGGTTTCTTGTGCTATCTGTTTTTATAATGAATCAGTACCTGCTGGCACAGTTTTCCAACACCTCTGATGAGCCTAGCCACGAGGATGCCCGAGTTTCTCCTCCACTTTGCTTCCAGGGCACACATGCTGAACTTTACGGAGGACATCTTGAAGAGGCTGCAGGACCTGCTGGTGCTGTGTCCCACTGAGAACGGTGTCACCCAGGCCTCCCTGCTGTCTCCTGACGACCAGCTCTACCTCTTCGAGGCCACGGCCGTGCTCATTGTCTCGGGCCAGTTCTCTGGCGAGGTAAGCTGCTTCTGTCTTTAATTCAAACCTCTGGTCATGCCATGGAACAGCAGCCTTACTCTTACTTTAGGCCCCTGGTCATGCCCTGAAACAGTAGCTTTATCCTTAGTTCGAACCCTAAAATAGTAGCATTATCTTTACTTCGAGCCTCTGGTCATGCCCTAAAATAGTAACCTTGTCCTTACTTTGAGCCTCTGGTCATGTTCTGAAACAGTAGCCTTGTTCTTACTTTAATCCTCTGGTTATACCCTAAAATAGTAGCCTTATACTTGCTTTGAGTCTCTGGTCATGCCCTGAAATGGTAACCTTATCTTTGTTTTGAGCCTCTGATCATGCCATGGAAAAGTAGCCTCATCTCTACTTCAAGCCCCTATCCATGCCATGAAACGGTGATTGCAAAAATATTCCATATGCCAAGAGAACTAATGACTAAAAACGTTTATGCCAGCTTAACATAAGAGAGACATCAAGAAAAAAAATTGCGGTGGCTTAGCTCGGCTATGCCAGGATATATGTAGCGTGAGCTCATGCGCACAAAATGAAAGGCACTATCAAGCGGCTCCAGTGGAGCGTCAGACTTGGCTACTGCGCAACGGAGGCGCACAGCTGGGCACGCGGCGGCGCCAGTGCGTCTGCCGCGGCTGTGACGTCACTCCTCTAAAACGCGCAGACCGGCGAGGCGCGCGCGGCGACGGCCGTGTGACGTCGCTGCTCCTCGCACATGCGCAGCACGGCTCTTTGGGAGCCACGCGAAACTGCTCAACCTCGGCCAGTGTAGCTCACGCTACAAAATATGGACGTTTTGCATCTATTCAGGCGGCATCTTTAGTATAAACTGATGCAAATGAGGCAAGAGCCTGCCAGTCACTACTTATCGCAGATGTCCTTGAAAACGCCCAGTAGGGGGCCGTGGTTGGTATCGCACACCGATAAGCAACACCGGCCAAACCAAAACTCCCAAAGCTTTCTTTGGCCCCAGCACTATTGATTGTGTGCCCTGTCGTCCAGCAGCGTTCAACAAGTTCCATCTTTGTGCGTGTAGCATGAGTGACTTTCACCACATCCCTTCTGTGTTCTCCAAGTCCAGACTTTCTCATCTATGGCTGATACACCAGATGGTCATTGGGGCTTTTTAAATCCTGACTGTCTAAACATAAAAACAAGGCAATTACTTACCTTCGAGTTGAGCATCAGTTTTCAGCAATACTTAACAACAAAAAAATCGTTTCTAAAAGTTTTTGTGAAAAGAGGGTAGAGACCAGTGTTAAATATTTAAAGGAACTTAATAGCATTCTTTGTTCTCTTTAAACTTGTTTGCTTTGTGTTACAGAAGAAACAAGTGCTCCTGAAAAGTCTGCTGACGCCAGTCATGAGGAAATTTGAGTCCCTCGCACAGAGGATGCCTCTGGAGCCCATGGAACAGAAGAGGCATGACATTGCAGAGTGCATGAACCATGCCATAGCCGTCACCAGGTGAGCACAACTGGAAGGCACATACATTCTTGTGTAGGGTGGAGGTGCTGCTGGGAAAATGAGCTTCTTGCACTGAGTTCCATGAGGTTTTTTTAAGAATAGAAACGAGTCTTTGCCATCTGGGCTTTGGACAGTATTCACTAAAGCATGTGTAATAAGTATTGTGAAATTAAATATTAACTTATTTATAGATTTTGCTCTTACACAAAATGAGAAGTAACATTGGGTAAAAATGTATTTCGAGTAAATGTGTCACACATGGTATATATTTTTAGAGTAAGCTAATAATACTTTAGCAACACTATCTTGCTTGACATACTGTCATGTTCCCACCAAAGTAATTTTTAATGGAAAAGAAATCATTGCCACAAAATTAAGAACAAAAATGTTGACTTTGAGAGCCAAAAGCTTGTAAGCTGTTTTCTGCCGATAGTACGGTATGAACCTACTTATTACTGACCAAATTTTACAAAGATACTTCAAGTCAATTGTGTACCTTGATCGAAATGTATGTGGTTCCAGAGAAATGTGCACAAAGTATGTAAATAGGATTCTGAACTAAACTTAAACTAGAACACAAGCACTCAAAACATTAAATATTTTGCTCCAAGTACAAAGCACTTTTGGTGTTTTCCAGTGCTACCTAGGCTAGGGCATATCGTGAAAATCAAATGAAGGGCACTACTTAGCAAGTAAGGTTCGCAATTTATTTGATTTTATACAGTTTTCTAGTGTTGTAAAAATAATAACATTTCTTAATGATAATAGTTTTCAACACTAATATACTACTCAATGTTTGCTTCAAGACCACTTTTTACATTCGTATATTTCGCAAAAAGAAAATGCTATATTAAAACTAACAACTCGGTTTTAACTCTTTCCCGACCGTGCCCTTAGGCCAGGGGTTCTCAAATTGGGTTCCCGGGAACACAGGGGTTCCACAAGCTGGTCTCATGGGTTCCCCAAACCACCCAAATTGCAACCCCCCCCCCCCCCCCCCCTCTCCCCCGCCGCAGGCTGCGCGGCAGTACCATGCAAAGCGCCTTCATCTCACTTTGTACTAACATCGCAATTGATATGGTGGGGTATATGGGAAGCAACACAAGCAAAATTGCCTACAATTGTGCATATGTTGCTTTTCGGTCGGCAGATATGGAGGGGAGGGGGGGCTTTTGCGGCAGTTTTTGAGGCTTCCTGGGATTCTGCGAGTCCAAAAACTTTGAGAACTCTGCCTGAGGCCATCGATCACCGGTGATCAACGGTTTCCAAGCGCCAACAAAAAATTTAATGTAGTGCGGAGAATTATGTTCCACAGTCTCATGGATAGCCGAAAAGCTGTAGTTTCGGTTTCAATGTAGTAGGTTTGAGCTTGATCACAAGCTGCTGTGCTGTCAAAAATAGTCTTGGGAAGGGTGGTTGCACTTGTCTAATGCGGCTAACCGTTTGCATCAGTCTTTGTAACAAAGATGGCATTATTACATAATTCAGCTGTATTTTGGCATATTTTTTTAGACCTCAAGAGCTCTGGGGACACTTGAAATGATCTTATAGGTGTCACTTAACAGATGGTTGTTGGTAAGCATCACTATAATTTCCAATGCTATCCTAGGCCGGCAGGGACGTTTTATGTTCCCAACAAGGTGGACAAAAATGCTAAATATAAAGGAACTTCAATCAAGGCTCTGACAAAACCATGGTAGTAGAACACAAAGCATTCTGCTGGGGATGTGAGATGTACTACTATCTGTGTTTCAACAATCAAAGCATTCCTTTGTTGAAAAGCACAGGTGTTACAACGGCTAACTTTTCGATGAATCAAAAATAGACGTCAGAGAACACTAACTTTGAGAAGTAATAGCCATGGGTGTGGGGCACATTTTCTATATTCAGAATTTTTTTTTATTTGTCGTTTAATCTTACATAGCTGTAAAAGTTTTGGCATTTATATACTCGGTCCTCACATACATTGCATTTTCAAAAAATTACATTTTTAAATCTTTCCCCCACTGTTTCTTTTGAAAGAGCAACTAATTGGCCACATTTTGATGTTTCATATTTCTGCATACACGAATTAGTTGGGAAAATAAAAGCGGTTGCACAGATCCTTTGAAGATTACTGCTTTTCCCGTGGTCAGGGAAGAGTTAAGTGCAAGTTGCGATGTGTCATAAGTTTCGGGTAAGTTTTCAGTGTTAACAATAATTTCGGTTCGCGTTTCGTAACCACGTGTGCCAAGCCCAAGTAGCTAATTGAGCCGCCCATTCTCGTCCTCAGTCGGACCAGCAAGGCCTTCTCAAGCCAACAGACGATGAAGGCCTGCAGCTCCGTTTCTGTCTACCTCGAAGCATTGCAGGTGTTCCTCCAAGCTCTAGACGTGAGTACACTTCGACCATCACTTTGGAAGAGTCGGATCCGCGACTGGGCACACAAGCTGTAAGGCATTTAATACCCTATTCCCACGGGCAGCCTTAGCCGTAGTTAAGCGTTACCCACGCCGGCCTCCGGTGCACGACGTAAAGTCTCCGGCGTCGTTACCTAGGAGGCGTTACCTCGGTGGTGGGATTGCCGAACAGGTGGTCACACGAAAAACGTTGCATCCTCGTCGACCAATTTCTGAAGGTAACTTTGTCGCGCGTCAGCTCCCGTACGAGCAGACGCTGCTGCAGGCGGGGGTGCGGCAGTTCCTGCACCGCATGGTGGTGTGCCTGGAGGAGGAGGTGCTGCCTCTGGTGCCCAGGGCCTTCGAGCAGCTCCTGCGCAACCCCGACGTCAAGAGTGTCCAGGAGCTCATCCCCCTCATCAACCAGATCGTCTCCAAATTCAAGGTGGGCGCATCAACACCTGTCCGTTCTCGGCCCCTTGGATTTGTTGTTTTGGGGGGGTAGTATATAAAAATAAAACCGGTCTAAAACGGACCAACAAAACGTTTTCGTGCCCTTCCGGTGGTTATTTGTGGCTCCCGACGCACATTCTTGGCCAACAGACGGGTTCATTCTGTGTTGGTCCCCTGCTGTGGGACACAGTTAGAAACATTCGTTAGAGTGGAGAGCCACGTTTTCATACTCTTACTTTGCCTCGCTCCCGTCTTTGACCATCCAGTTATCGCTTGTTTCCGACTAATTTGAAAGATGATATGGCTAGTGGTCGGAGGTTAAAGATTTTGGCTATATTACCAAAAGTAAACCTCGGCTTTGATGTCATCTCACTTGTTGCAGGTTGCATGCTTCCTTTCTTTTCTCTCTTTTTCCTCCGAGACACTGATGTAGTCTCTCAACTAATATGATAAAAAAGAAAAACCAAAAAACTTCAAAAGAATAGAGCAACATAGATTGTGTTGCTATTGGGTGCAGAGCACATAAAACAGGCACTGAAACCGAAACGCGAATTGGTATTGTCGAGCCTCATAGTCCAGGAAAAGTTACTTGAGGGATCTTCGTGGTCAGTGGAAAAGGGGCTAGCAAGTGGCGGCACCGAAGAAGTGCTCGGACAGAAGTCACCATTATTAGCAACATCTCAAAACACCTCGTCTTTGCCGAGGCAGCGATGGGGACGGTTGTCTGCACAATTTCTCTGGTTCATTGCTGATCTGCTGAAACATTGCTGCACATGCTCTTTTCCTATTGGCACTTTCTTTTCCCTCCATAATGCGACTCAGTCATATGATCTCCAAGCCCATTGCTCTTGTTTCTGTGAGGGAAAAAAGCTTCAAATCCCATCTTAGGTCTAGGAAACTCTAGATGTGATTTCATGGCCTAAGAGTGGATTCATTACTATATTTTCACTCTGGCACTCGCGACTCGTGGAAGTTGTCTTTGTGCCGCATCGAGGATCCGGGGCAGTGTTTGGCGTGCACGTGACTTGCGTGTGGCGGAAGGTGAGGCAGCTAAGCCTTTAGGGGGTCAGCTGTCCTGGGTGTTCCAGAAAGAGGTGGTGCCTTTCCTGCAACGGATGTTCATGCCGCTGGTGGAGGTGATCTTCCGGGCCCTGGCGGCCCCCACGGAGCCCGGGGACGAGCAGGCCCTCAGGGACCGCCAGCTCCTGCAGAGGGCCTACTTTCTCTTCGTGGCCGCCATCATCACCAACAACGTGGTCGAGGTGGTCGCGTCGCAGGGTGCGTCACCTTCGAGCATTCCTTCTATAAAGGCGCTCACCAGAAACGAAAGTGCAGTCTAACCCCGTCGAAAACTCTCGATGCGGATAAGCGTTCTTCAAGCTAGGTTGAGAACCTTTGACTTAGACCGATTGTAGGGTGTTCTGGAGCACAACACTCTCGTTTCACTAGTTGTGTGCAGCGTTACCATAGGTACTGGGGGCGAGAGCATGACTTGAGCAGTAGAGAGAAGAGGACGGAGGAATTCCTTCCTTATCCCAGACCCTCTCTCGTGCGTCCCAGACGTTGCTCTTGTCTCCCTCGAGGACTAGCCCATCGCTCAAAATTCATAAAGGCTTTCCTCTCCCTCCACTGCCCGTGGCTTCCCCATCACTGCGCGGAACTTGTGAGATAGAGTAGTGCCGAGGTTAAGTCTAAGAAATCAGAACTTAGAAGTGCCCTCCCCTTCTGGAGCCACACTTTCAGATGCTCCTGCCACCACTGGTAAAATTTTTTAGAAGGATAGCAGGTAGTCTCACCCTAGTGCAAATGGCACCATAGTCTGCGACGAGCTAAGAACTCGGCAGATACTCGGCCTCGAACGCAAGCTTTGTGCATTTGATAACACTTTGTCGCTGGTTAGGTTACGTTAAGAAGGCAACGAGCATGTTGTGAAACGTCTACTGAGTTGTTAACCTGTTGCCAGCTGCCGTGTCGGCTACCAGGAGAAAGTCTCAAATCTCCGGTTGGTTGGTTTGCAGACGCACGAAGCCTGGAGCAGGTGTTTGCCACCATCATCCAGGGTGCTGTCGAGTTCCCTGACCCGGTGGTAAGCTCATGTTTTGAGTGATACTAGTACCCCTCTACTTGAACGATTGCGGGAGGGTGCTTCGTCTCTTCACATTATTGTTGCTTCGAGGTACACAGCGCAACACTGTCGGTACAGATGCAGCATCAATGCCTCGTCCTCCATTCCGATATTACTGAGCTCTAACCCTATGGATATAGCAATTCCCGCCGGCAGAAATGGTCATGACAGACCCTTCTCAAAAATGCGGGCCATTTTGTAGGTGCTGCGCTAATTGTCCGAGTCTGCCACTCTTTGGGCACATACTCCTGTATTAGACATGAGGGCTGCTTCAGCATTTGGTGACAATTCGGCTCAACCCGTACCAAAAATGAATACTACGTCAACGGTTCAGCGGGAACTCAGATCCAGTCGTGGGCTTTGTGCCCAAGAAATAACAACCGCCAATGTTGCTTGGTGGGGTTTTGAAAAGGGCCCATTAAAAGGCTGGAAAGGCTGATTATAGCCCCTGTGTACGCAGGCCCAGAAAACCTGCTTCACCATCCTGAGGAAGATGGTCGAGTTGTGGGGAGGTGCGGAAGCGGAGCCCCACTTTGTGGACTTTGTGTACAAGTCTGTGGTTCCTGCGTGTTTCCACGCACCGCTCAAGGACAGCTTCGACTTGACCGATGCCCAGACCATCTTGGTGAGACAGCGATGGCTGTGGATTCTGGCCATTTATTGACGATCGTGCCAGGGGTCGTTTCTCTGGAAGTCATTGATTTCTTTCTTTGCAGGCTCTGTCCGAAAGTGCAATGTGCATGAAAACGATCCTCGCCAAGCGGGTAAGTTCAGACGTGCACCAGGCCACAGTGGATGCACATTTGGGTGTGCTGGATACATTTCTCTGAAATCTTGTTTATACTGACACTAGACAATGACATGAAAATGTGTGCATGACCTGTGTTTATGCCACGCTAAACGTGCCTAGATTGGCAGTTCTGCAAGTGCCCGTGTTTGAGGCATCCTAAGGTAATTTCCACCACTTATGCGACACCTGGACGTAGCTGATTGCCTTGTCGTTTCAGTCGTAGCAGAACTATACAGTTCGCTTGGCGTTTATGCAGAATGCCAATTTTAAACTGCATGTGATTGCAGTCATGATTGAGCTGCTTACATAACCTCAATATATGTTACACTGGCAACTTTGCATTGAGAGCTGAAAAACGAAAGTGAAAAATATGACCAGGTCTTTCATTTTCCCTCGCTTGCTCCGAAACTGCTGTTTAGCTTCTGTTAACACAATCGTCCAAATGAGTTCCTGTAGTTTCCACTGGCACTATGTCAGTGTCACTTAAAGGCCACATACAATGCAACCCCCGTCTTCTGCAAAGAACATAACCTTTTTAGCGTTTTCCTTTCCCAAGATTTGAGGGGAGCCATGTTGGTGAGAGGAAAAAACAGGCAGACATTACCTAAACAGAGGCCTTGGTGCTAACTTTTCCAAGTCGCCTATAGCAGGAGTGCGCAGAGCACCAATTGGACATGGCCCTCCGACCAGATGGGGTTGGCAAAAGTGGAAAGTGTGAGACATATGTCGACCTCTGCTAACGGGTGCCTGCTGCCACAGCGTACACCCCCTTGGGGACACCCTGTTACACCTGGTCACTTCACTTCTCTTCAGAGCAGAAATTTCCATATCTAACAAAGATTAAGCAGGATCTGCAAATATCGGTCTAGGTGTCTAGGTTGTGTGAGCACTATTCTGGCAGGGGAGCAAGCAGGACCAAGCATTTGGCACCGGACGGGTAACCACACTGCTGCCAGGACAGTGCCCATGTGATGTTGAGCAGATGGTTTCGACCAGTCTTGTTGCCTTCGACACTCTTGTCCAAATGCCTACCGTTGGTGCTGCAGGGTGAAGAGTTCATGGAGTACCTGCGGACGCGGTACCTGCCCTCCCTGCTCCGGCTCTCCCCCGAGCAGATCCAGGACTACTGCATGCACCTACAGTCGGACCCCAAGGTTTTTAAGGGCTACGTCAAGGCAAGCAAACAGTTTTCTTTTTTTTTTTTCAAGCTTTTTTTTTTTTTTTTTTTTAGTAGAAGTTAGCAATTCAATTTTAGCAGCTCATACAGTTTCGGGTGTAGGTCCGACAGGATTGCCTACATCCAAAACTCACTTCAATGTGTCTAGAAATCCGACGATATGCTGCAAGAAACTAGACTTGTGTGGAAAATCAATTTCCGACCATGAAAGGTAGGAAAGGATTGATTCTCCAAAGTATAATATGAAAGGGTCTGCTATGAATTGCTCAGACTGTGTTGTTTTAGCCCAGCTTGGGGTAAAGGTGGGTTAAAAAATCTTTCAGCGATTCCACTCTGGTGGAAAGGCCACCAGACCCAATAAACACTTTTCCGACCTCAAGTCGGCAAGGGAAAGAGTGGAAAGGCGGCCGCCGTCACTCATAGATGGCGGTAGCTGTCCGGAGTTTTGTGTCAACATTTGTTTGCACGCGAACACAATACTGAAGAAAATAGCCCTTCACGCTGTAAGAAAAAAAAAAATATATATATATATAAAAAAAAAAAAAAAAAAGCTGTTGACAGTGTTAAAACACCCTTGGCAAAGAGAATGTAGCAAGCCACTGGTGAGCACATTGTTCAACATTTTGAGGAAAAAGGAAACCTTTCAAAAACAACAACCTGACATTTTGTGTAAATATTAACGGAGAAAAGTCTGAACCTTTTACATAAATGGATATGGAGGTTATGTAATTAATTTGTTTGTTTTTTTCTAAATCTCCCTAGCCAAGTGTGCCTTCTCATTTCAAGGTCCCCCCCCCCCCCCCCCCCCCCTCATTTCCCCCACCCCATTCTTTTAATATCTTTGCAACTAAAGTTTGTAAGCTTTCAGACGAGATTTTCGCTCATGTTTGTGTATCAAAGCATGTCTCAGCTATGCCGGAGCTGCACTTATACTTCGCAAAGTGATAGAAAATTAGGCTGCTTTTCAAGAACCCAGGTCTTGCAACATTTCCTTTGGAAACGTATACAACTCAATCGGACCGAAGAACCTGACTGCCCATCCTCTGTTTGCAGGCGTTTTTCCAGCGGCTGCGTGGTTCTTGACGGCAGTGAAGCAGGGGTCTCTATTCACCAAGTGGCAACAGACTCTGTCGTACTGACTGTGTACAGCGATCATCACAAGAGAAGGGGCCGACGATGTAATTTAGCTATTACTTGAGTTTTGCTATATGCATGCTTGATATGTGCATGCCCCCCCAACCTATGGAATATTTTGTACAGCTCGTGATAATAAATGATTGCATGCGAGAGCTTGCTGCAAGCTCTACTCAAGTCTGGAACCACGGCACTTCCATGTCTACCGCCTCGATAACATTTGACCAATGAAAATAGTTAATTGCATGGAGAATTAAAACGTTGCTAGTATTATTACTTCTTTTTAGGCACATTGTGCATTATATTTTGACGAAAACGTCAAATCTTTGGATGTAGGAGACGTAATACAGTAATTAATACAGCAATTGAAGATCATGCAAAAGCACGATCTTTGAGTAGATTTTTAATAGGAAAATTGGGTGTTCATGAGCTTAATTTAGGGTTTCTTAAAATGCGCAGAGCCCGTCGATCAAGTTATCACCACAAATAGAAGATCTCGGAATCCACTTGAGCGCCCTTTAAGGCTGGACGTGGAAGATGCGAGCTGGTGCTACCTTCCCGAGGAAACACGCGTACAAGAGTAGGCTGTCCCCAATCAAAAGTTTCCCACAAAACGCCAGAAAACAAATCACAAACGCCGTATCTAATCAAATATAGGCCAGTGGTATTTTCCGAAAAGATGAGAATGGTGGGGCCGTCGCCAAGGTCAAGTGCGGCGTTGGTCAATCCCTGCCGCCAGATTTCTCGCAGACTTTTTTGCCAAGTGTCCAGATTAGGGCGCCACCTCGAGCTCGTTGCCTTTCATGGTGCTTCGCTACCCGCGCATACAAGAGGCTCGCTCGCGCCGGAAGGGTGGGGAACTAAATGACCTTCCCCACCTTTTTCATTCGGTTGCTGGTTATAGAGAAATCGTTGAGAATAATAAAATTAAATACCGAATGTGGGTTGACCAATTTTCAAAGTGAAAGGCAGGAAAGTTCATATACAAAGTGTTGTTTTTTCTTTAAAGCTTTGCAGATTTGTTTATAAGATGCAGTGGAAGCTACACTTATGCGGTTCGTGCAGGTGAGCTCTACGGCCAAGCGGGCATAGTGTAAGGAGCTAATCGTAGCGATCAGTCAGCTGAATAAGTATGCTTTGTTAATTAACTTTTTAGTTAGTGAAAATAGACATATGGTTCCACTTAGAAAGTTGCTAAGCATCATCTAAAACCCCAAATCAACTCTTTTTAGGAAGATACAAGACGAAGGAAGCGTTTTACGGCGTTACGAAAAAAAAGCTCTCTGGACGCGTCTCTAGGTTTCGGTTTCTTATCGAAGTGCATCTTTGCGCCCGCAGTCCTGCTGCTCAGTTGTCGCGACGCAAAGCCACCTTCTCGCTTTCCTCAAACAGGATGGAAGGAAGTAGGGTGCAGAGATGCACTCTGATAAGAAACTGAAACCCAGACATGCATCCAAATAGAGTTTTTATGGAATGCCGTAAAATGTTGCCCCTGCAATATATCTTTCTAAAAAGAGTTGATTTAATGGTTTTAAATGGAGCTCAGCAAGTTTCTAATTAGAACCATATGTCTATTTTTACTAATTAAAAACTTAATTAACAAAGTTTACTTAATTAGCCGACTGATCGGTACGATTAGCCCCCTATACTATGTCCCCCTGGCCGTATAACTCAACTGCAGAAACTGCATAAGTGTAGTTTTCGCAGCTCTTTAAAACAAATCGGTTAAGCTTCAACATAAACTGGCCCCGCCTGTTTATCGCAATGGAAATGTCATTCTCCTAATTTCAACCACGGAGACGCGTTCCGGACACCATACCCATGCTGTACACTGCTAGCCCGCCATTCAGCACCAGTGCTTCTGCTTCGAGCTTCGCCACTTCTCACTGGCAAGCTCGGAAAAGCAGCTACTGCAAGGGGGGAGGGGGGGGGGGGGGGGGGTCGGGTCCACTGCGAGAAAACAAAACAACCGGCCCATATCGGAACGATTTGTGTAAGATCGTAGAAGGTATGAACAAAAGTTTTAAGGACGTTGCACATCCAGAGTTCTTCGCTCGTGGAATTGAGCCATAAAAGGTCGTTACACACGTCTTAAATTATTTTTTTAAAAAAGAGGGACGTCAACACTTTTTTTCAACAGATATTTAATTGGAATGGCCTCTTTTTACGATATCGCAGCCAAGAACGAGCTACACATTCGTGGGAGAATAACATGACACAAAAGGAGCACATTGAAGGGTATATCAACAAACAAAGCATATATTGCGGTAAAGCTGCTGAAGACGGCAAGACCGACCACGCTAGCAACGGTGTCCTCGCAATTGTGCGCAATGTAGCTGGGCCTCAGATCGCTCATTTTCTCGGCTCCAAAGAGCATATTTGCAAAGCTTTGCAGTTGACTTGTGCTTGACAGCCAGTCAGCCAAGTGAGCCCCAGCATTTTCTTTGGGAACTGGAACTTTATCTTTAGCAGAACAGTTCACAGTAATTAGCGCACATTGCTTCCTTACAGACCATACGTTACAGCAGGTAGAGACTGCTTACTCCAATCCGTAAGCTTTACAGCTCGCAGTGAGTGAATCGCGGAACACCTGAAATGTCTACAGTCTACACTTCCTCGTCATTTCACCGCAGCTGTCGAGAAGTGGTCAAGTGGCCACGCTTTCCCACTGGGATGCCGGTGCATCATCACGACTGAAAAGGAGAAAAGGTCAAGTTAGAGTAGTAAGCCATGGGTGCTAGTGACACGGTTTAGGCGCATTCTTAGCTTTTAGCTAGTCTGGTTCCTGGCATGCATTCAAAACTTTTTTTAGTATGAACAACATTGCAAATGAGGGATGCAAGGAGTGCATTGTTAAAGGGACACTGACAGGGTATTTAAGCTCGCCAAAGTTTTTATTTGTGCACGACATGAGAGCCCAACTACCCAGAACACTATTAGCGGCTCGAAATTCGTTTTCTTTCCGCCCGAAAACCGCCAATCGAGAACTAGCCGCTTTGAGTCGCACTCGCTCTCTTCTCCGTAGTCACGTGCACTTTTCTATGGTCTAGGACAACCACCAAAGATAATCAAAGCTGTGTGTCACTGAAGGCACCTACTCGATGCTAAATATAGACAAAAGAATATGACGCCCATTTTTTGTGGCTTGTAAAAAGCTGCAAATACCTTGATTGAAAAACAAAAAAAAAAGTTGCACAGCCACGTGACTTATGGTACTTTCTCCTCTATATTTCTTCTTCGTCCTCAGTATAGTTTCGGTTTCGAGTAGTTACATCTTTTTTACTTCATTAAAAATATATGTAATGCTTTAGTTAAATATTGATTGGGTAGCCTTCCGACACCATAACGGATCGCCTGGCAAAAGATGAAAACATTTTTTTGGGGTGTGTCAGCGTCCCTTTAAGGCCAGTTCACACACTTGCATTCAGAGCAACCACTACGCTCACGAACGAATGCAACCGGTTGGAACAACGATTTGCCATGGCAACGAAGCACTAAACAGCCGTCTCATTCGTGTTCGTTCGCAACGCAATGAGTTAGTTGGGCTGAACTTTTTCGCTACGCTTGGGAACGGACGGAGCAACCGCATTGACAGACCAATGGCAGGTCGAAGAAAGCGCGCGGTTCCTCGACCTGCCGCGGTTCCATTTATCTGCTGAAATACATGAGTCTGTGGTAATCGTCAACGTGGTTGATAAGGTGTAAGCTTATCGTTCCGCATAGCGCGCTATCCTTGACTGTGAATTCTCATTGTGTGTCGAGATGATAACCCAGCACACGTTAGAAGGGAAGATTTATTTACTCGTGCGGCATTGTCATGGCGGCACTCTCAGGAGCTGGAACGCTCATGCTGTCGTGTTTGTTTCCTTCGACTACAGTGGTGCTTGCTCAGCATTTGTATCCTCAAACAACGCCCAGATTTCTTATTTTGCGCACTCCATTCATGCGCTCAAGTTCAAGGTCTGTTATTGATGTGTACCGTATGTAAAGTCGCGCATGAAGGATGAGAATTTTTATGCGTTTTCATCACCCGAGAAAAGTGATTATTGAGATTGGTTATAATGAAGTCGGTTATAACGAAATAGCGGCTACAGCGAAGCGATCACAATTTCCCATTCCCTTTTGCACTTCATTAACCAAAGCCAGTTATAACGAAATAGTGGATATAGCCAAGTGATTTCCGATTTCCTTTGACTTCGTTATAAGCAGTCTCGACAGTATTGGTAAAGTCGTGTGTAAACTTGTGATCGCCCAAGACGGCGTACTGCATCTTTCTTTTTGTTTTCATGCACTTCCCTGCATGTCTATCCTGAGAAAATAAGAATGAACAGAGCTTGAGGCCACAGAAAACTGTCTGCCCATTTTCTGCTATGCCAATGAGTGGCAGCGCGTCCCCTTCTTTCTAGAGGCACCACGGAAACAGCTGACGGCGGCGGAGAAGTTGCCGCCATGCTGACGACCTGCTGCGCTTGTTGCAGCAATGGCTGGAGTGGGTATGCGCGGTGCAGAGCAGTTGTTCCTGTCGCAATGTACGCAGTCGTAGCTAACGCGCTCGTTGCAGATGTCTAAACCGAACTTTAGCTTCGTGCCTTGTAGTTTAGCATGCATCAAACGCCATCTAGAAATTGAGGCAATGGCCTCGCCTCCTAGGTGATACCAAATGTAGCAACTAAAAAGTCTGGGCACGTACAGGCCCCATATATTATCAATATGGCAGTGCAGTGTGGTGCAGACTTGGACTGCATATATGCACATGTTTGTAGTATCCGGTGCCTGCAGTGTTGCAGATGCAAGCCCGAGGTTCCAACCGCACAAATGAACTCCCAGTGGGACCACTTCCCACATCCTTTCTTTTAAAGTTCTTATGAAATTGCGTGTCAGTACTTCGCTGAAACGAGTTATGGCGAGTTCCACTTGCTTTAAAACACCCAGTATATGCGCAGACTAACCGGAGCTACCAAGAGCTTGCACGACACTTATTTTTGGAATGTGCCATCCAAATGCTGGCTGTTGGAAGTGCTTACTTCATGGCTCGGTGCAGGACAGCTGTACTTTCCTTGTAGCGTTCTTCATTGACCATGGCTGCTTCTTTCCATCTGCAGCACCACGCAAGAATAACCTCATTATGAAGCCGCTTTATTGTAATGATTTTTGTTTGTGCAATCAAAGTACAGCGAATCATGTTGCTGGCCACTTATACTGAGGAATGATGAATTTATGCCTTTTCTATCAGTTTGAAAAAGAGATATGAATAACAAGAAACTTCCAAATGAAGGAACGCACTGGCAGTTCTGCCGTGTCCTCGTCCCGACAGAAAGTACAGGAAGCACTCAAGGGTACAATGCCATCAATATCTGAAGATGGACCTTTGTTTAATGCTACAATTGATCCATCGTTTTAAATTCAGAGTTAAATTTGTGTACAAGCAGGTCAGATACAGCGTGATGTTCCCTCTAGTGTGAATGCTGCCTCATCAGCATGGGATCAGAGTTCTGGGCAGGTCGGCTATGAGACATTCATGGGAACTTGCAACACATGTGTAACTATAGTATTTTATTGCCACATATCACTGTTGCTGTGAAGGTCAATCAATACCTGTGGGACAGCACAAAAACCTACCTTGTCCAATGCAGCTTTACTTTCTGTGTTTATTTTTTTTTTTTTTTTAACCCGTTTCAATGACAGAAAAATAGTTAACAATTAGCTTATGTTTGGTCCGAGTTTCAACAAGATTATTTTCACCTTAATGTAAACCATGGCAAAGGCTGCAGGCCATAGTTCAGAACTTCAATAGGTTTTCGCACTGCGAGCCCGCTTCTGCCGCCAAAAGATGTAGCTGTGAGCTCGCACCTTGTAATTTTCAGTGCGGTCTACGTTAAGGTGAAACAAGATGCAGGCCTGAGATATAATGGTGACATCCCTGAGTGTCTACCTCATGCTATGTCAATGCAAGGCCTAGCCCTGGTGGCTCTAAGATTGGAGACTTATTGATTTTAAACAGCGCACAAAAAGTCGGGGGAAGAGAAAAGGACAGTAGAACGAAAGAGCGCTGACCCCCAACTGATTTATTTAGAAAGAAGTGAAAAGAAGGAAAAAGAAGCCACGAAAATTGGAGACTTATCTTCGCCCTAAAGCAGCATGACTGCTATAAAAAATCATAATGAGGTGAATGCAGTGACATTGCTTTTTTCTCGCTAGTAACTGAGGCAGTAACAAAATTTGATCGCAACAAGGAGCGAAGTACCATTGCCTGTCTACCTTACACTCATTTCCAACAGTACAGTGGACTACAATACAAGTTGAATGCAGAAGCAGCTACAAAGAAGCAATGGCTGTGCACTAATGAGCAGGGGAGGCAACTGACGTAGCCTAAGACACAAGCAAACCAGTTCAGAATTAAAATGCTCTCGAAGCCATTTGCAACTGCAGCCCTAACTTGACGAGGCACCTTGCTGACTTATTTATAGAGGGCAGCCAGCACTTCCCAGTTGTCAGCTCTAGTGCTTTAACTAATCATACTACAATCGGATACAACATAAGAGAGACAGTGCAAGGGGGGAAAAGGGCAGAAACCAGGACAGCTAAAGTGGAAGGAGCAACCTCCTTTTTACAATGGCTTTTCTCGTGCGCATCCTTCTTCCCCCCCCGCAGTCTTTCTTACGTTGTATCTGACTATAGGGTATGACACATTTCCAAGCTCGGGTGTAGCCAAGTACAACTAAAGCGCAAGAATTATGTCACGAAGACCAAACGAATACCATGTCACAAAATGCTCCTACTTTTGTCTGATGCCTTTCCAGCGGGCTTGGTGACCAGCAAGAAGGACACTGACTGGGACAACCTCGCTTTCATCCTGAAACATGAAAGAGAATAAACAAATCCCCTATATTCCATCCCAAGAACACTGAGCAACAGCATATGAGGCATGGGCACGAGCATGTGGCTTTAAAGGGACACTGACAGGGTATTTATGCTCCCAAGGTTTTTATTTGTACATTACATATGAGAGCCCAACTACCCAAAAAACAATTCATGGCTCAAAATCCGTTTTCCTTCCGACCGAAAACAGCCCATCGAGAACTTTCCAGTTTGAGTCGCTTTCACTCTCTTCTCCTTGACAACGTGCCATTTTCTTTGGTTTAGACACAACCAACAAATATAATGAAAGCCGTAGGTCATCGAAGGCACACACACAATGTTAAAAATAGAAAAAAAAATATGATACGCATTTTTTGTGGCTTTTAAAAGCTGCAAATGCATTGTTTTGGGGAAAAAGAAAAGTATCACAGCCACGGGACTTCCACCACCTCTCTCCTTTTCTATATTTCTTCTTCCTCCCCAGTCCGGTTTCGGTTTCGAGCAGTTTTGTTTTTTTACTTTATTAAAAATATATGTGAGGCTGCAGCAAAATATTGATTGGGTAGTCTTGTAACACCATAATGAATCCCCTGGCAATAAATAAATAAACTATTTTGGGGACACAAGCGTCAAAAGATAAATTTTATTTTTGACGCTTGTGACGCTTTTTGACGCAAATGAAAAAAGATTAATTTTTTTAAACAGTCTAGTTGGGACACAAGCATCAAAAAATAAATTTTAGGCAAAAAACAAAAAAGAATTTGTTAGAGCAATATTGTTGGCGAGAGATTTATTTGAAATTCTGCGTGCAGAGTCTATGACGGCATAGAACGGTCATTCGCTCTTTCGACCTCGACGTGAAGGCAAAGCCGATCCACCTCTTCTCCATGTGCCCGAAATGCCTAGAGAAAACAAGTGGAAAGGAGGTGACTACTGACTAAATCGCGTCTCAAGCCGTCAATATTGCTCTAAAAAAAAATGTTTCTGTAAAATTAATTTTTTGACAAGCTCAACCAAACTGTTTAAAAAAAAAAAAAACTTCTTTTTTTCTTTTCAGGGTTCTTTTAAGAAATGCTTTCCTTGTATCACTGGTAGTGCAAACAAACACTCGCACCCCTGCCTTTGTTAGCGCTGCACACAATATAGGAGAAGGAGTCTAATAACAATTGCAGCAGCTATACAGCTATGTAAAAGTCAATCTGTGATCAACTTTTACTTTGTTTGTCACACGCGGAAAAGCCAATCTGTGATTGGCTTTTTCACGCGTGTCTAAGATTATCATAAGGGTCACCCCGCTTAGTTAAAGCAGAGTTACATTGCCATTTTTATTTAGGGAACCTTCAAACTGTCTTCGATACCGATCTCATCCCTGTACAAGACGGTACCAGATCCTAGACGGAATAAAGACATTGCATCTAACCAATCCAGCATTTCATAGCAAGCTGTACAATAGCCTTTCGTAGTCGAGTCCTCAGCATTTTTCAAAAACTCACAGATGCCATGAAAAACTTCTCAGTGGATGGCGGAAGCGGCGATGGTATCCGTAAGTCTCTAATATTCCCGTCTTTATCCCTGGGTGCAGCGACCGGTGGTGGCATGTTGTACACTCCTTTGGGATTCTCATCCCCCTTCTCTGCGCCAGATTCAAAAACCTGCAACAGCGACATGAATGTTCCAAAAGGGACACCCTTCCAGATGACAGCACGCTTTTGCATCAAGCTCTTCCAACAAAACATACCTTTTGCTCCTCTTCCTCATCTTCAATGTTGGCTGCTTTTTCGCCATCTTGCAGTGGCTTGTTACGGATCCAACTTCGGCACATTGAGTACAATGGAGAGTTTTCGTCGAACTGCGCTAAATCAACACTGCAGCCATAGATTTTTGTGATGTAGGTGTCTGAGAGGAAAAGGTGAGACATGAGACAATTCCAGCAAGGGGAAACCTAGAGCTCATTCAATGCTACGACCATGGTTTCTTCTGTTTCGAGTTAAAAAAATAGATTCAATTACATGCACGAGTCAGTAATATCACACGAGTATGTTCATATGAAGCAGCACCTCTGCTGCAAACATGCAGTCAAGAAAAAAACAAGATGTTGCAAAAGGGCTTACTTGAAGCCTGGAGAGCCGATTCGTCTTTCCGACGTCGCTTCCTCTGAGTTTTCTGCACCCTCTTCGAAGGAGATGACATTGGTGACGGGTCCCTATAGTAGTAAGGGGCCCAATTAATGTTAAACTCGCGATGATGGCGAGCGCATCGTCAATGCGCACTTACTTCATCACAACATCGGACGCCTTGGCCTCGTCGTCCGACTGCGACGACGAGCTCTGACTGAAAAGCAGATGGCACAATTGTCATTCGTAGGACTGGACCTAGTAGCAATTCACACGGAGTATACACAACTTGAAGAAAATTGTATAAGCATTAGTAGATTTCCACAAATCGATCATCAATCTCCTCCCGTTTTTCGATCTGTAACGGATCACGCGAGAGACGCGGTGTTCCCGGAATATTCACCTTTCTTCCGTTTTCTCCATGAGATTTTGAAGAACTCCATCGAGCTTAGATCTCGCTTGGTCAAGCTCGGCTGCTGTAAAGAATGGTTCAGTTCGACATGAGAGCTCTGCTCGGACCCTCTCTTCGTCATTCGCAACGTGGGCGTGCAAGCTGCTGACGGAAACAAGAAGTACACACCGTGCTTTTCCTGTTTGTTCCTCGACATGATGTGTTCAGACTCAAGTCGCTGCAATTCTAGAGCGAGGAAGGTGCTTCTTGGAGTTCGCGATCAGCTCACCACACAGCCACACCGACGCCAACTGCTCGCCAACGCCGATTCCTCGTATCACCGATTGCGTGTCGTGTACTGCGTAGTACGGGACGAAGGGGCGTCGACGCCACTCCAAGATAACGTCGAGCGAAGGGAAGTTACTTGATTTTTTCCGGGATAACATGTACTAATTCCGCACGGCTAACGAGGAACGGGAAATCAAGCATCGCGCCGTTTCCTAGCTTTAATTCCTATTAAGACCAAGATGGCGCTCTTGTAAACAATGGCGTCCTGTGTTTTGTTGTTGTTTGTGGCTTAATGTCCCAGTGGTGCTTCAGTTTCACTTTCGACTGTAAGCATTTTGTAAAACTAAATATAAATTGTTAAAATAATAAAAAATCAGTGTCTTTATTTTATATGTTTATATATAAAATGTATCAATATTTTTATTTGTTTTAAGTGCTTTTCACGTTGGGTTGGGACGTTTCCAAAGTCAGATTTGTGGTTTTTAAGAGTTTTACGTGCCAATCCAACGAAGGGCATCCAGGGCGGGAACTTTAAATATGGCACGCCCCAGCGGATGCCAGCGGAGGACAGGATTCATTTCAACCACTTGGGTTACCTGGGGATCTTCTCACCTGCAGCCAAAAGCTCGGTTCTTCTCCGCATATGCCACCGTCATATTGCGGGCACCTCACCCAAGATTCGAACCCCGCCAGCTGAGTATCTGTAGGCTGGCGCTTTGCCTCGGAAAGGTTCGTACGTTTCAGTTTTCGATTTTTTAGCAGAAAAACGAAGATGCAACTGTGTGTAACCCCTAGTAACATCCAAAAATAAGCTAAATGTTCACTTCCAACACTCCTTTTTTTTTTTTTTCACAGCTTACATGCGAACGTTTCGAATATGGGCACTCTCAGCATGTGCTTCATAATGTGCTGTAGCTTTGTCGATCAAAAATCGGTCTACGAGCACTTGATCTTGCCCAGTAACAATCAATTTTGGGAGTTTTACGTGCCAAACCAACAACGGGCATCAGGCACGCCCCAGCGGAGGACTGAGGATTAATTTCGACCACCTGGGGATCTCCTGACGTGCAACCGAAAGGTCGCGGTTACACGGCGCCTTCTCCGCAATAAGCCTCAGTCAGATTGCGGGTACCTCGGCTGGGATTCGAACCCGCCACATGGGTATCCGTAGGCCTGCGCTCTCGCCTCGGAGCCATCGAGGTGGCTTGTCCAGTAACCACATTCGTGCTATTTACTTTCAGACAGCATGTTAATCTACGGTCACCTACTAACCAGCTTCCGATATTAATAATGAGTAGGAAAAATTGACGCCAGCAGAGGTGCATAGATATTTATTTTCATCATTATTGAATTGAAACAAGACAGTAGCAGGGTGGATAATAAAAATAGAGATGATTTAATTCAGAATTTAAATAGTAATTTATATCGTGATTTACATCAGGTCAGTTTTACTAGATATTTAAAATATCTCTAGTGCTCGTGCCGCAAAAAAAAAAAAAAAAAAAGAAATTGTAATATTTAAAAAAATGAAGAAATAGTGTTTATTCATTGTACCTATCATTTGATGCTTTTAGATAAGAAAATCATCAAGCAATAAAGATTAATATCAGGCCCAACACGAGCAACAAAGAAGTGCTCTTTTGAGCAAATCGGAAAGTCGAGCTTCCACATCGTTTGAGCTACACAACATCCTGTTGCAACAGTATAAAAACGGAAAACAACGAAAGCTAGAGAAGTAATGTCCTGTAACAATGAAAACAGAACTTGAAAAAAAAAAATTTAAAGTTTCCAAATAATTTTTAGAAATCAAGCTTTGTTCTAGTATGGCAGGGATTACAGCAATAAAAAAAGTTAAACTGTACTTTGCATTTACAGTAATTTTTCTTCCGCTTTTATCAGTGACCGGACAAATTGACCAAATAATCTGCCACGATTAAACATATGTAGCAATAGACAATATTTTCTAGCTAGTGATTTAAATCAAATTAATCGGATTTAAATCATATATTATCTATTGAAATCAAATAAATCCAACTTATTTTATTGAGAAAAAAAAATTTTTCTGCTCAGCTGGACAGGAGGCAGACACTAAAAACAGGATCTTTGCCGTCAACCCATGGCACCATGCATCTGGCAACTTTTACAGGCAACTCTCCATGAACACATCAGCAGTCAGCTAGGATCGTTCACACAAAAACAACAGAGAATGCAGTAAGGCATTTCTTCACAGGACGTGCCATTACACATTTAGTTCAAACAGGAACACAGAAGGAACTTTTAACAATTTTTTATTCATTGGCAATGTAAAAAAATACTGGTTTCAATAACAAAAACGGTAGTCCTTAGGAGAAAGATAGCAGATCTTGTTAATTTCACAACAAGGAGAACTTCTCAATATGTAAGGTAATATTCGTTGGGTTTGCATAACTTATAAATACAGGAGAGACGCGAACTACGCCGCAGTGTTCGTCCACCGATATGTGCCGTAAAACTTGAAGCCGACTTGCTTCCAAAGATCGTCAGCCTCCTTGAAGCCACGACTGAAACAAACAACAAAAGTTTTTTTTTTCTTTGTTAATTACACTTGACAAACTATAACATGCATCACGAATTGACAAGGCACTGGACAGACAATGTAGACACAATCCATCATGCTCTAAAATACTACACATATGTAGTGACATGGTGCATATACTTGGTAAAAACCTGGCTTAGCAGACTCAAAATATTGACAATACAGGGCTAGAATTGATGAGCTTGACGAGCGTGTTGGATTAATACTCAATACAAAGGAAGCACAACACACACAGGGGACAGAGACACATCTGTTTCCGTCCCCCGTTAGTGTTTCGCTTTCTTCATATGGAGGGTGACAATTAGCTGATGGTGCTTACTTGACTGACAGTAGGAACAAAAATGGTTCCAGCTTTAGCAGACTACAGGTCTCTCTCTGGGTGTCGAAGAACTTGGGTATTTTTAGTTATCTCTTAATTTATAGTCTATAGAAAATCGAAGGACAGATCGCTTGATTTTCCTCTCTCGAGCTTCGTGTCACATACCATTTTAAAAAATCCTGCTATGCCAGAAAATATGGTCTATCAGGTTCTGCAAGCGTGCATGCTTGGCTTTTCCGCAGTAAACTCTCATGACCGCTACTATCTAGAAATATTAATCTCAGCCCTGTTTCCATTTTGTTTAGCCATTTACTTCAAAGACGTGGAGAAAGACAATGCAGGTATTTGCACTGAAAGTACAGCGTGTCCACAAATCAGGATGAAGCATTTAAAGTGACCGCATAAATCAACTTGGTGATGCATTGAGCAAGAAATTACCACAGAGACGCCAGAAGGTTGTGTACGCATTGCATAAAAATTTCGAAAGAACAAACTTGCCCGTGTAAAAAGTAAAAAACCGGGAACCGATTTTCCGTACCTACAGCGCCCGTCTGCTATCCACGCCCCTTTGACTGGCACAACAACCGGCAGGTGGCAGCAGCAGCCCCAACCCCGGCACTAGCTAGAGAGCCTAGATTGAAGAGAGGGCCCGTCTCAAGCCACGAGGAGCATGGCAATTTAATGGCAGACACCTGCGGCGATCGGTTGCAAGTGCACATGTGCTGCGTTTTTGCGTAGTGAGGAGGAAAGCAGGAGGAAAGACAGATGTTTGCAGACGATCGACGCTTCTATCACCTCCTCGCAGCTCGTATTGCAAACACAGCCCATAAACAACGTGACCCCGATCGAGCGGTTGGAAACTCTCTGCAATACAGGCTCTCTAGCGCCACGTGGCGACGTGTAGCTGAAATTAATCACCGAACCATTTGTCTTGTTCGTTTTGTGTCCAGTTAATGTGTTTCTCCGAGCACGCACCGTTTTTGATTTAAAAACATTGCTTTTGGCACGACCGGCCGGTAAGCCTGCGCCAAGTGCCTGTATTACGAAGAGTTTCCAATCGCTTGCGTTTCCAGACGCATTGGTCGTCAGCGGGTGTCTCCACCTTTCTGTCCGTTTTCCTCCTCAACACGCAAAAACACAGTGCATGCGTTTTGCATATGCGAAGACCAATCGGAGCGGGAGGTATCGGGCATTAAATTGCAAACACTCTCCATGGATTGATTGGACCCTCTCTACAATCTAGGCTCTGGCTTGCGCCAGGACTGCTGCCACCATCTGTCGGTTGTTGTGCTAGTCAGAGGGTGCGTAGATAGCAGATGGGCACCATGGAGTAAGTTTGTTCTTCTAAATTTTCATGCGATGCTTCCACCACCTTCGGGCACCTCTGCGGTAAACCATAGCGCAATACGTTACAAAGCCGATTTATGCATTCACTCTAAAAACTTCACCCGGATTCGTGGGCACGCTGTAGTAATGGGACTTGAAATGCAAACAGATGCCTGTGCAACTACAGGCACCGAGCAATTTTTCGGACGCCGATAATTCGGACTTGTTCAATATTTCGAACCTAAAGGAGGAACCGTGACCTACCCAATAGAAATAGTGCATATTCGCGACCAATGTTTCGGACAGCTTGAAGTCCGGAAGTTTGATTTTTCGGACAAAATTGTTGCGAGCGATCAGCGGGAAACACCAACGAGAGGTTGCCATTTTGGATTCTACGTTGGCTGCACATGGATTGGCTTGGTTTGGCAGCGCTACTTCAATACTGCCAAGTCCTGCTGTTATGCGACGCTGTACGGCTTTTCTTTTCTCTAGCTGCAAGCCATTATCATCACCATTGTTGTTTCCATTTTGCTTTGTTCATTCGCCATCGCAGTCATGGACTTGTGCCTCTCATCTCGATCTCGTCCCGGTGAATAGTGTTTTCAAACTACGCTGGCTTGGATGCCAAGGCCCCATCTGCTCTTCCGCTGTCATGATGTGTCGCTAGGAAGCGCAGAAACTACTTGACCATAACACTAGAAAAGAAGACAGCGATTCTCAAGCTAACAGAAAGTTAGCCAAATGCAAACGGAGGCGTAACCTAAAACAAGGTGTGCAGGCGCAACCTGAAGCAAGGCACTATTCACGGCTTTTTTAAGCCCGCTTAGGCGTAATAAAGGCAAGTTTTTTAATCTGCTAATTTTTCGGACCGCTCTATTATTCGGACGTTTTTTCCGTCCCTGCGAAGTCCGAGAAATCGGTCGGCGACTGTGGTAACCCCCACTGGCATGACAGAGCATGAAGTGGACCGGCATAAGCGAGTCATTCAAACAAATAATCTCGGGATGGCGTCCTGGAGCCAACGTCTCAATTAAAACTCATTTTTAGTCCTTCGACTGCCAGGTTTTTTCTAGCATGCCAAACAGAAATTTTTGGTCCGATGCACAAATTCTGTAGCATGCTTTAAAAAGTATATTTATTTGTCAAAGACATATTGGTCCATTTGCTCAAAGTTAAGCGACGTCTGCGTGCCTCCAGCCAAGGATATTTTTCTCAAATTATACTTTTCGAAACGTGGTGCAATGCGAAGTGGCACCCCCATCTTTGCGCCCCGCTTTACTCTTTTCAAGTGGCCTTAACCAACATTTTTATTACTAAATAAGCTTATCACTAAATTCGAAATCTCGGTGTTTGACATAAAGCGCAAGGTTGAACGAAGTAGATTCGCCTTTCTGTAATGCGAAAGAGCAAACAGAGACAGAAGTTCCCTAAACAAGACTTTCCACATGCCGTCAACGGGTGTTACTACAAGATAGAACATTGCTCTACACGTGAGAATAGAATCGAACACCCAGTTGGGAGAAGTAGAGAGCAAATCCAAACTGAAACCTGTATGGGGACGCACCCGAGTACACTTGGGCGTGGCACTCGAAGGGTTAAAAGTGATACTGCAACGAAGTTCGAGCGCCTTTTTTATTTTATTTTCTAAATGTCAACCACGTTCTTGACACACTACAGAGACAGAGTTTTTGCTCAGAAAGACACTAAAACATTATTTCGAAGGAATAGGTAAACCGAATGTCGTTACATGACTTTGCACTAGAAAGTGGCATCGCTCTGCGGGTGTACGGCGGCAAGCTGCATGCCTGCGAGCCAGGTCAAACCGGACTTTTCTTCTTTCTCGGCCTATTCAACTCCTCTGGGAAGCGGGGAGAGAACTAAAATGGCCAGGTTGTAATGTGTTCACGACGCCAAGTGGCGGAGCTCCTAACAACGCCAGTCTCCAGGCAGCTTTGCCCGTGCTGGGCTGGTTGTGTCAAACCACCCACGATGCATCGCGCTCTTCGATGGGCAATCATCGAGCGCTCGTTATAATCTATACTTTGGAACGAAAAATAGCCATCCGTTCAAAACGCAGGCATGCAATTGCTATTTGCAGAGAGAGTCGATAGTGTTTAACTTATTTCTGAAAGCGAGAGGTATATCTTAAGTTTAGATTCAGTATCCCTCTAAAGACGAGCGTTGCACGGGACAAGGAAGGGTCACGCACCTGCCGTACTCGTAGGGCACGGGCTGGGGCCGCTCCCGGTCGATCTGATGCAACAGGGGCGTGAAGATGCGCCATGCCTCCGCCAACTCGTCGCTCCGCACAAAGTGCACCTGGCTCCCGTAGAACACGTCCAGGATGAGACGCTCATAGGCATCCGGCATCGTCATGCCCTGCACAGGACGCCACCCAGGATCAAAACGAGGCATAGGCGATCCTTGCAACGTACGAGCCGGTACGGGGAAGGACGGTCGTCTGCTGCGAAAGCTACACCAGAGTCTGAAGGCACAACTGGCAACACTTATCGACCTCGTATAAAAGCCAACGCATGACCCGTGCTTTTCGCTTTCAATCGCTTCCTCCGTTACTCCATTAACACATCCTCTTGCCCTTCACCCTTGAGTCCCAAGAAAGTGTCGTGCAGAGTCAGCCCTCCTTTCTTTGTCGCTCCTTTCCTTTCCATACCCGACCGACATGTTCCCAAGGTCCCTTTAGCTAAGGGGTCTTTATTGTTGGCAGCGAATCCATCCGCAATCCTCCACACGTGACAAGGGCTCGCAAGCCCAATGCACAGGCAGATTCACCAATCCCAAAAACACCTACGTTAAACATACCATCATGCCAAACGTGCAAATAGGAAATACCCTCGAAGACAAAGGAGACTGGAAACCAAGAGAAAACATCTGCCTCGAAGACGACCGGGTTTCGATGCCAGCCTTTCATTATAATAACGGCAAACAACGGTGCCTGCAGACACGCTCAGGCCGGAAATCCGGTTTCCGAATGGTGGCCCTTGCCTTGTAGCGGCTGCCGTAGGTCAGATCCAGCTCTGTCTCCTCGATGTCAAAGGCCATGCCGGGCTTCTTGGACATGAGCTTGACGTAGATGGCCTCCCCTGGCTGCACTCGCAGCACCAGCTCGTTGCGCTTGCTGTTCCCGCCAAAGATGTCGCCGGGCACTTCCTTGTACTGGATGCGCACCTCCGCCTTCCTCTCGTTCAGCGCTGAAACGGAGGAGGAACACGACGGTTGAGACCGGTCGGAAGACAGAGGATGACCCCTCCACCCGCTGCTCGTCACATTACCGTTTGGAAAGAAGTTAAACAAGTTTAAGCTGCACCGACGGCACAGATCATTAGAATTACTTGCTTTAAAGAGTCTTTATTCAAAGACGAATGGAGTGAATGCCCTTAGCACTGCTGCTTGTCCATTAAAATTAGAGAATTATCAATTAATTAACTGAAACCAGCCTGAAAAAATAAAAGGAAAAAGTAAAATATTAAGTAGTGGTATGCAGAGTTGAGAAACGGTAGCACAGGCGGTACAAATAAAGACTAATATAATACACAATACAGTAGCGGGTGAAACATGCCGAAAGTGTGCGGTAGCCACAACAAATTCCCTCGTAACTAAAATGCCAGAAGAAAAAAGAGTTTTCATGGGGAATCGCTTTGACATTACAGAGGAGTTCCACCGAAAGGGAAAAATAGAAAACAATCGGTTCATTGCTCCTCCCACCAAAAAAACTTACTACACTCCAATAATCGTGAAGCTGTAACTCGGGGGTCTACATGCACGCAGTCACCCAGTGCTGCTGTCCCCTGGCACCCCTACCACACCCCCACATAGTGACAGGACACTACGACATTGCCCGGACTGCCCACCGAAGGGCCAAAGAAACCTCTCTGTCTTGCAGAGGGCGCAGCGCCCGGGAATGTCGGCGGTCACCTTTGCCGCAGCGCAGGATGAAGGGCACCCCTTCCCAGCGCTCGTTGTTGATGTAGGCCACTGCCGTGGCATAGGTGGCAGTGCGGGACCCGGCGGGAACCGTGGGGTCGTCCAGGTAGCCCAGCCTCTCCTCCCCCGTGCCGTCGGGCTTGCCCACGTATTGCCCCAGCACCACGTGGTTCATGGTGATTGGGGGCACACACTTGAGCACCTTCACCTGCACGTGGCAAAAGGGCACAACACAGGAGTCAGGAAAAGGATTCCCCCCTTGGGACGAGTCCAATTCGGTCTACTTCCAATCGAAACGCGATACCTGAGCACGCTTTCAAGGCCTGTATCCCATCGATCTTTCGGTTGGAATTTCGATGAGAAGGAGCAAAAGACTGCGTTCCGACTGGTCCTCAACAAGTTTTAGGCTTGAACCTGCCGTACAACCCTGCCCTGCCTTCATGAGCTCCAAAGTTGTTTCAGAGTTTTGCAAAGGACCCAATTCGTGTGCCAATATCGGGGCCCCGAAAAAAAGGCCCGACAGCTCTCCGAAACCTGCAAGTTTAGGGATTACAAATATACCCACCACCACGACGTACAAAATATAATGAGCTCCGAGTGCGCGCTATAAACGAATTTGCTATAAAAATTTAGGTTATAAAAATAGCTGCATTCTTTAAAGTGGCCGAATTCATTCCCACAACCTTTTGATATGTTCCAAGAGAAAAAATTTGGCAGACCACTTAAATTGAATGAAATATTTGAAGCAACGAACTGCATATAAATAATTATGAAATACTACACTTCATCGGGGAGGATGGGAAACATGCACTAAACTGCCACAAAACAATAACAACTCATTGCAAAAAAAACAAAACAACATAGTGCTACTTTTGTTTGACATACATTCACCCTCTTCAGCCGCCGAACATGCTTATCTTCACAACGCCGCAGTGGTGCAAAACTTGTTATGGGCATCTGTATCCCGAGTAAGAGTAACAAATTCTCCCTCATTGGTCAAGTAGAAAAGAATGAACTATTGATTATTTTAACTAAAGATAAAATGGGCTTCCTCTAAACTGATGCAAAAGCACAAAAAACGAAAATGTGCAGGAAAAAGGAACAGGCGACAGGAAATCGGCAGCATCCTGTCGTTCCTTTATCACCCAGCATGCACACGCCAAGACTTTGCTTGCCCCATCAGAAGACAACATTTCTGAGTATACTTTAGCACAGCTGATATCCGATAACTCACATAAATTAATTTCTTAATAGGTCATTCGGAACCATGGATACCCGGAGAAGACATTTTGTGGGCTTGGTCTCTTTCCTTAACCTCGTTTTCTATGTTGAACCACGGATGCAGCGAATGCGATTAGTTTACTTTTGCATGTAATATGCCGCATTAAATTTCATACTAAATTACTTTGTAAGAACATCTGCAAATTAACTATATTTAAGTGGCACAGTAAGGAATCAAATTCAGTTGAGACAACAACTGTTTTAGGTCGCCCAAAATATGTTCACTCAACCATTTACCGTGCGAGCCCACATTGAGGTTACCTTTTCATTTCGAATGTCCTCGGCATTTGTAGAGACTGGCTTTTCCATAGCAACCAGGCACATAATCTGCAGCAGGTGATTCTGCATTACATCTCTGAAATAAGAGTGCAAACCAGTCAGACACAATCCAGACACAAACAAAGACGATGAACTTACGCCCGGAAGAACCACGAGAAAGAACCGAAATCTAGAGCGAACAGAGAGGATCCTAGCTCTTTCTCCAACGACATTAACCAACAATAGCCACATCTCAAACGTGTAGTTTCGGTCAGCTTTTGATGCGAGAATGTCCTAGGGTACAACACTCGAGTTGAGTAAATCCATGTAACCGATAAACAAAAAAATAGAAAGAGGAGTGCTACATCATGCCCGCAAGCATAAGTAAAAGTACCGCAACATACCAGCATCAGCGAGTGCCTCTGCATCTATTTAAGGCACAAGGCAACGCGGTGGGAAGAAGACGGATGCGAGCACGCCGCAAAAATTGACGACGACACCGGACAAGACGAACCAGCTCCACTGAGGCGATCGGCTAGACATTTAGACATTAAAGCGAAAGATGCCAGACTGCAGGCCCGTTCACAAACTTGAATCTGATTACGAGAGAGTTCTTGCGGTCTCTTACGACGAGAAACGCACTGGCACGCTGGCACCATCTAAGAGGTTATTCTGGATCTGCATTCCGCTGGGGTAAAGGCTTCGTGGTGTTTGCGAGATCAAATGTACACTCTACCTATGAGAAATAATCGAGCCAACAAAGATGGTGTTCCATGGCTTCTCGATAGATGGCGCCACTCGGTTGCAAGCGGTCGCAAGTATGACCCAGCCTTGCGAGTAAAAAAATTCCGATTAGAATCAAAAGAAAATAAAACCCTGCCTGTCTAAAATAGTAAATTTTAGAATGTCCAACTCGACTAAACTGCCAAGACATTTTCACATAACATACGCCGAGAGTTCTTCATACTTTATTGCACTCGATAGAAAAGAAAACAAGGAAGCGTGGAAGGCATGCTAGTTCTGCGAAAAGGCTAGGACCCATACAGACAGGTGTGCCCGCAGAACTTCCCCCTTGTACCTCTAATATAGTAAACAAGTAAATAGGAACTGTTCGGTTATGTCAGGCAAGGAAACAACTACTACACATAGACAAAACACAATTACTTAATAACTCGCGTGTTTTTGTTTTCTCCGTGTCCGGTGTGGTTCAAGACGTACATTGTGTGCCAGCTTGCCCGTCTAGCGACTCTTTACGGGGAAGACGGCACGTTGCGACAATTATTTGACGATCCTAGACGAGATCACGCGACGTCCAGCTTACCTGATGATCCCAAAGCTGTCGAAGTAGCCCCCCCGCCCCTGCGTTCCAAAGGGCTCCTTGAAGGAGATCACAACACTCGCTATGCTGTTCCGGTTCCAAGTGGGACCGAAAATCTGATTAGAAAACCTGCACAAAGAACGTCGGGACAGAGGCATTGAAGCAAGCCTGCAAAAACAACCTTCCCATTTCCAGCAGAGCGTTGCTTCAAGCCGCAGTCTCGCTGCTCGTGCGTTGTACAAGAAAAGCACAGCATCCACTGCAGACACGACACACCTGAAGCATGTTCAAAGCACATTTGCTTCACACGTGTGTACGCTTCAAACATACTTACAGACAGTTTTTGTACGACCGAAGCAAGAGCTGACCGTCGTACAAGGAAGAAACACGCCTCGGACATTGACTGCGGACCGTCTCTTGTACGACGTAGCAGCAACGCGACCGCGGCTTTAGGGGACGACGAAAGCGACCGACCTGATCGCCATGAGGTTTTGGACCATCTCCTTGCCGAGGTAGTGGTCGATGCGGTACAGCTGAGATTCGTCGAAGAGCGATGCGAGGTGGTTCGAGAGCTCCGCCGAGGACGCAGAGTCCTTACCAAAGGGCTTTTCGATGACCACCCTGGTCCAACCCCTGAAGAAAAGAAAGATGAAAACCACACTCTTACGGGTGCGGTGGGAAACAAAAGGCAGACACGCCAGCATTGAGGGTAGTGCTGTCATCTGAATTCAACCTACAGAGTTTAAGAAAAAAAAAAAAAAGTTTATGCATTGCCAAACGCTTATTCTCTGCTCAAATGTAGCACAAGCGATTCAAAGCAGATGCTGAAGTTTCAGAACAAACTGTTACCTCAAACAAAGGTCACGAGCGATTTTCTCAAAATTGCGAAGGGAAAATGGGGCCCGTTTTCAGTAACTGCAGCCATCCAGCACCACGTACTGGAGGACTCCGTCGGCTGCCATTTGCCCATTGAAAATTTTGGAAAATCGCTTTTTTAAGGTAACTTGGTTGCACAGAAGATAGGCACTGATCACTAATTAAGGTTGTTGAGTGTAAACAAAGACAAGAAATACAAGCACTTGCGTGCAAATATTTTGTACTTGTCTCAGATAATCAGCACTCAAATTTAAACACACTTCCATTTTTAGATCTTAAATTCGGCAAAATTCAAAAAGAGGTAACCAAATTCTCGGTTAACATGACCTCTACTACTACTATCTACCAAAACACAACAATGGTACTCTAGTTTGTTTTAGCCTGAGCGGCTAACTCCGCTCAAAATAAGCACCGAGATCAAGCTTTTATATGGCAGCTTACCTAAGCAAGAAATCTTTGAATATAGCCCATAAAATAAGTGGCTTAGCAAATAATCTGTGAACATGGGCGGATTTAGAGGGGGGGTCCGGATGTCCTGACCCCCCTCTTGATTTTTACATGTGTAAAATTTAGGGCGTAAAACAAGGTGAGGGGTTCCTAAACATATGGTACGCTGACCAACACCTGACCCCCCCCCCCCCCCCCCCCCCCCGTCAGGAAATTCCTGCATCCGCCCGTCTGTGAATACAGCCCACCAAGTAAGTAGCTTAAGTTTAAACCATTAAAAAAAAAAACTAAAAAAAACTTTAGCTTATTTTTATGGTATTCGGTAGTTGTTGATATGCTTATAATGACTTTGCAACAAGCAATATAGCACACGGTACACAAGTATAGCCTGCCTCGCACACATGATGCTGCAAAAGGCATGGGCACCAACTCGTTAGGAAGCTTGGCCAGCCAAAAAATTTCACGAACGTATACACTAGTGCTTATTTCAAGCCCCAGCATGGACTCCGATTTTTAAAGCTTCTAGTTGTCCCTGTAGCTACAGCAGAAAACAAAGGGAAACTGACTTTTTGCTCATACAGTGCCGCTTGATGTTAGTAGCAACAGCCTGAAAGACTGTGGGCGGCAGTGCCATGTAGAAGATCCGGTTGGCCGACGACCCTTCCAGTTTGCGTAGCTCGCCGTCAAGATTGTCGAAGTCTTCACTCGCGTCATACTTGCCACTGATGTAACTGTTCAGCTTCAGGAAATTCGAGAATTTCTCTTTCTCCTCCTCTTTGACCTGATGCAAGACAGTGGGGGCAAACAGGATTAGCCAACACGTCTACGATAACTCGAGCTGCTTTCACCGTATTTGTGCAAAACATGTGCATTTTGGCAGACATTTCACAAGTGGGCTCCCCATTCCGCCGACTTTGAGGTGAGCACCGAAAACAATAGTGCCCACTTTAACATGCACTGTTAAAATTAAAACTGAACAATATTCAAACTAGATATCTGGCTAGTCCAATGCAACCCACAAACTCAGTAGTTTTAATCTAAAAAAATAAATAAAAACATGCAAAAGTATGACTCAACAGTATTGAGCTAGGTTTGCATAAGCATTTTGTACTCGCTGAAAATCTAGCTAACCAAGAATATGAGTGTTTTCGGCTACAACTAAGAAATGCTCAAATTAAAAATATGCCAATTATAAAAACAAAAAGTATGAAAAAAAAAGTGTACTGGAACCTGTCACTGAACAGCCAGCGGACGTAATCAAATGCCTAAGGCTATTTGGAAAGTTAGCATGAATTGAGGGGTTATATGCAATCTGACGGAGTATCATACAAGAGAATCCTGCGCCCAGCGACATCACTCAAATGTAGCATTGGCAGGAAAGTTGGTTATGCTGCATACGATGGTGGCATACCTTAAGGTAGGGCTCAATCTTCTCACTTAGACTTTCCACGGTCATGTTGGACCTCGCGTAGCCGACGAACTTCGTTTTTGGTGGCAGCAGACCGTCCCTGAAGAGAGCCCTGTGCAAAAAAAAAAAAAAAAAAAAAAAAAAAAAAAAAAAAAAAACGCTTTTTATTAAAGTACGACGTCCCATAGACCACAACCAAAATCGGCCTCAACTACCATGACAAGCTTACCATAACGTCGGGTAGATCTTCTTTTTGGCCAAGTCTCCCTGCGCAAGACCATAAACACTTTAGGGGCAGACGAGGGAGACGAGACAGGAAAGCATGCTTCCAGGAAACAAGGAAAACCGCAGAGCGGCACGCAACAAGGAAAAGACGTCCAAACACGAGCGACGGAAGGTTTGCGATGTGCTACCTACGAAAACAAACCACGGGCGGCATGCTGGCTGCGTGCTTCCGGTGGATCCGCGAGAAACAAAAACGCGGTCATGCGCTCACGTGCAGCGCAGCTCGAACACCGAACCTACTCGTTCGTCGAGTACGACAACAGACAAGCTCCTTTCCTCCGCATCGCTCAACGGTGGCTCGTGCCCGTTCGTAGTAGCGGAGGTAGTACCACCGTCGCCGTTCAACGACGTAGTCGCGGCCAACGGAGCCACCGAAGCACCACGCCGCACGATCACCACCATGCTGCCTCGCGCGTGTTTTCGGCGTCCGGCGCGGTCGAACGGCCTCTTTTATGGCCAAATCCGGTATCGAGCGTCGGTAAACACTGGCCGAAAGGTGGGCTCGCGACGGGAGGTCAGGGAGGCTACGTTTGGGGGGGCGCGGAAGAGAAGGCGGGCTCACCGATGCACCGAGCACAATGAAGACGTGCACTTGTTGCTCCTGTACGGGTTCTTCGAACAGGTGGATCGATTCCTTGAGCAGAGCGATGCACTGCGGAGAGAGGGCCGGAGGAAAGGATGACTGCGGCATCTCGACTTCTTCACCGGCGGCGCAAGCAGTGGAAGCAACGCGAGGCTTAATCGGATCACTCTGCGTGCAGCCCAGCTTGGCGCACGACGAAAAACTGGTTCGCGCCTGACTATTTGTAGACTGCCGATCGGCGGAAGCGGATGAACGAGCGCTTTCCGTCGTTGCGTCGCGTGTTCTGACGACGACGACGACGGTGCCGCTTGCTTGGCCACCCCTCTCGACCCACTGTGTCTCGACCTCTCCAGCCGAGTGCAGCTGTAGCCTCCACCATGGTAAGGAAAAACTAGCGCCACGAGGCGCTAGTGGCAGAAAGGCGAACATACGTCTGGTCGGAGATTAAAATTGGTCTCGAAAGGCTGCCAGATGGCGCCACCACTGCCGTTGGCGTGCGCCCTCCGTCCTCTCCTCCTCCTTTCCCCCCCCCCCCCCCCCCCCCCCCCCCCCCCCCGGGTTCTTTTTTTTTTTTTGGTTTGTTTGCTAGGCTGGTGCCGCGCCGGCCGCTGTGAGCGGCCAGCACGGCACCGGTCTAGCAGACGAGCCGCGCGCGATATACTTCGCAACAACTGCGCTTCACGTGATATTACCAGTGCAATCAAACAGAAACAGCACGTTCATTGAAATGTATTTTTTTATTGAACCCCATTCAAATGAGTTGCGGTACTTCAAACACGCATCTACAAACTCCGTTGGCAGTCCACCGCCCTCAAAGGGGAACCAAGAACTGTAGTAGGCAGTAAACACAGTAAAGTTGTCAAACATGTAAAACGAAATTAATTACATTAATGTACAAACTAAGAGAAAAGCACTTATCATCGAATTATCTAAATGCTCTATAAACAACTCCCACAAACTAAACTTCTGAATACCCAAACAAACAAATCAACGCCGAAATAAAGGAAAAGGCTTGCAGGTGAGCTGCATAAGAATAAACTATAAATAAACCATAAACAAACTCGCCAATAGGCAATGCAATTAAGAAAGAAAGAAACTACTGTTTTGGAGTGTCTACATCTCTGACTGTAGGTGCTTTATCGGTACTCTATCCTAACATATAAACACGAAGCTGTCAAATTAACTGAAGATTGCTCTGACAGCAACTCACCCAGAGGAGCAAGTCCTTGCAGCAACGGATTCGTAACAAGAACGGTGGGGCACGCGTTTTTCCACAAACGAATCTTCCCACAACTTGCAAACACGGTAGCACCGAAGTGCTCGCTGCACAAACGACGCTGGCGCAGCTTGCTCGTCGGCAAGCCGGGCAGCCCGGGCAGGCTTCCAAAGTCCTGGCGATTTGCATACGCAATCCATTTCGATGCTCTGATGGAAAAGTCGAGTTTCGAACGCTGACAAAAAAAAAAAAATTGATATAGAAGTTTACCTGTCGTCTGTTGGAAAGCGGAAGAATGAGCACTCCGAGGTTACTTCGCCGCGCTGTAGACTCCGTAATACGCCGTCATGAGGCACGCAAAACACTCGGCAGAATCTCTGTCAAATTAGAGACGTACATCTCTAATTATTATAAGCGCGCAGCAGCGTCGCACCGTACTGCATACTGCCGTATAATCCGCACTTTCGATTTTAGCACGCGCGGAACGGTTTGAAAGCTTGGAGTGACGAGCGAGCGCAAACAAAACAAAAAAGACAAAAACGGTCGTTTCCCTTCGCTCTTACTGATTGGTCGGAAGAGCCCAGAGTGCTTCGCTTTCGGTAGCGAAGATCATATACACGTCACCTGCGCTGAAAATCATAGCGGCGAATATGAGCATAACAGTTTGGTCGGAGTCGGCTGGGTAGACCTACGAATCTGCTCTTTGGATGGACGTACAAAAGAGAAGCCAGCGACGCGGCGCCCCTATCGGCCCAACCGGGAACTCCGGAGCTGCATTCGGATGACCTCTCCACAACGATGACTATTTTTTTATTTTTTTTTCGCTCGGCTGCACGCCCGTGCTTGCGCCGTCGTTGCTGAAAGCCAACGTCACACTGGGTTCGCTAATCCCGTGTCCACTCTACGGGCTTGAGAGAGGCAACTACATTTGCAGCTGTTGCAGCGTCATAGAGAGGGGGGGGTCGGTCGGCCAGTCAGGCTTGTTTGGAAACGGCGCGAATCGACCTCTTTTCGAACTGGTTTGAAAGTCAGCAAAGCCTCTCGGCCGGTAAAGCCCGCCCGCAGAATGGCACGAATGGGCTCTGATTGGAGCCCCAACTTTTGTCTTTTCTGGGCTACTATTGTTTATTCCCTTTCCCCAAAACAGGAGGGGTTCTGGCCTTCTGGCGTACACCGTTGGATCACCTCAGTTTACTCCTTTGACTTTGTTGGAAGGGGGCGAAGAGAGTGGTAGGAACTCTCCCTCTCTCTGAGTGCGAGCGTAGGAAAGGGGGGGGGGGGGGGGGGGGGGGGGCGATTGATCGGTTTGCTCGCCAAATCCCATTGCCGGTGTTTTGGACGGCCGTACGGGTGGAAATGGGCGTGCACGCGGTGTTATCGATCGGCAGAGAACCTGCCGAGGGGGGTCGGAATATCAGAGAAAGCTGGTGGCGCGATCGTCTCCGCGTGGTTTTATCGTCCAGATTTAGAATGTCGTTGTCTGAAAGCGTGCGGCGCGATAAGAGAGATTGCGTAACTCGTCTTCGGAAGAGAATATAAGCCGCGCAGAACGGGGGCAACAAAAAGGAAACGTGCGCTCGCTTCTGGGAAACCCGATACGCCACAGCGCACGCACATCTCGAGCGGAATGCTTGTTTCTAAACTCGGGTTCCCTGAGACTGATAGCATGTAATACTTCCACGGCAGATGTTCTTGTCGGTTGTCTAACAACACGGCCGTTTTTATACGTGAGCCTTTTGACGAGCGATTTTAATTATACTACGTTGGCGTTTTTAAGCGCGTTACCTTGTTTTTGCTGAACACTAGCACTTCCTCGACGGGACCTGTTGCTGTGGTTTTCGTATAGTTACTGCGACCTTGAAATGCGTCACCCGGATAAAAGCCAGGATCGGGATTTTCGTAAAAATTCTCGATCGCGCCAGACCGTCCAAGAGGAAAAAACAAAATTTCGCGTGTGGCGTGTTGTAGTACTTACGATAGGCACGGCGCAGAACAGGAAGAACAGGGTTAAACCCATCCTCGGAAAGCCCCGATTGCCGGACGAAGCTGCCATTTTGGACCTCTTGGTATACGACGACGTATCGAAGCTGGCGGCACGTGTTGTCCGTTCGCTCACAGATTCCGGATCTCGGCTCCTCGTCTCAATGTACCACCAAGCTAGCTCGCTCATCAAAGTTTCAGCGAAAAGGGGATCTTCTCGGTCGCCGAGGCAGCACTGCCAATCCGACTTCTATCGGTGCCGATAGGCGGACTCGTGGAATGCAGCTTGCGGCCATTTGCAACCTCCGGACAATGGACATCGTTCGGTGCTTACCGATGTCTTTCTTCAGAGCTGTTATACCGACCTAGAGCCAAGTTCGTAGGCCTGGATTAGATCCGCGCGTGGCTTGCGCCCGAGACCTTCCCTCTAACCTAACAAATCAACAACGTTCAAAGTTCTCCCTGCCTTTTTTTTTTTTTTTTTTTTTTTTTTTTTTTTGCTTTCTGTTGGCAGACAGCAAGCGCCTATCAGAGATATGAAACTGGCCGCCAAAAGGCAAGTCTGCGATCTCCGTCGTTGTATATATCTATTGAAGTTAAAGCAAGTAGGCAGGCGAACTGGTTAAGGATAGACATAGTAACCTTGGAGGACGGACATGCACACACGAAACTCCGATCCGAGTCTGTCCGCCCCTTCTTTGCCCCCTTGCTTCAGGGTTACTATGTCTGTTGTATCTAGCTACAGTCGTTCAGGGTTCTTTTAGAATTTAAAAATTTAAATTATGTGACTTCTTTAAAGTTATAGGTTTGTTTGTTTTCGGTCATTTTATTGTAATTCCCGAGCCAAACATTGGCTGCAGCCTCCGGCTCAGGTCTGAAGATAAGAAATTATTCACATTTAATATTCATTTAAACATACTTATTATTATTTCTCGACTTTCATTTGCAATAACACGCTAAATTTATTGAGTTGACTTTTGTTGCGCATAAAATTATTCACGTAAAAACTTTAAAACAAGGGGGGGGGGGGGGAAACATTTTCGCATTCTTTAAAATAAACTGCTTTTAAATCGTTTTGATATATAATACCTGCCATTACGTGTCATTTCATAAGAGCTTAGCCCGAAAATCTGAGTATCAGAGGAATTTAAAAATGTTCGAGGAGCCGGGAGAATTTATCATTAGAAACGTTTACAGAACATAGACATCAATGGACCGCTAACACTCTCATTGCTTGATCGCGTACTTTCCCTGCGTTCGGCGAGAACGACAATGTTGCTCGATGTACCTTTGAAATGGGCCTATGCGTAGTGTAAGTCATAGAGTTATTATAATGTACGCTAGAGGTTCAAGTGGCGCTAGTGTGCTGACGCAAATTGAAGCAGACAGCAACCAGTCCAAAATTGACTTCCGGTAATGCATTTCTATGGGAAAAAGTGAGTGCATTTTCTCTCTGCTCTCGATCATAAGAGCAAATAACCCAAATAATTTGTGCGTACTAGGTAGCTTGGAACATTTCTCAGTCAGGCAAACGAAAGAATTGGTCAGTTACGGCGTTTTTCTTTTGAATTCATCGCATTAAAAACGGTGCTAAAACGGCTTCGTACGTGTATTTATTTGCACTGTCGGTCGCTGTTAGCGCGAACGCGGTGTCGGCGATTTCCAGCATGGGGGATATACATGCCAAACGAACGAAGGACATCTGGAAAATCAAGAGCGGCGGCGAGAACTACGCAGCAACACTGGATCAGTAACTCGCAGTGCATGTACGATCGCAATAAATTGAAGACCACATAATCTATTCCGATTTTAAATAAGTAAGTACCGCTTTATTCTTTCTGCCCTGGGCGAAGCTGCTTGTTCTACGTTCGAAATATCACCCGCGCGCTCGATATCTTTGAGAACAAGTGCGCGATAAAAGCTGCCCGGCTGAGACAACAATACGAAGAGACACTTTTCATAGCCCACGGACTTTATTCTCTACGTTTTGAAGGTTTTTATCCGCTCATGCACGACGGGATCATTTTCATGTAGTGACTGGATTGGCATATTATCAATATACAAGCGTCACCGGAATGCTGGCGAGCCTTGAACGCACTCTATGTTCGTTTCGATTGTAATTTTGCTTTGAATCGTCGCTTGTTTTTACACACCTGCTGCGGAACACACGTTTGGAACTGAAATGTAGCGAAGTTAAATATCGTTCACTGATGAAGAAAAATGCGCTAACTAAAGCAATTACACTTTTGCAGTGTTAATCAAAGTACATGCTATTCGGTACGACCCAAATAACCAAAGTGTTCCGTGTTATTTTTCGGCGAAGAGACAAAATGCACGCGAGTTTTCCCATAGGAATGCACAGGAGCACCGCAAAAGTAGACTGGTTGCTGTCTGCTTCAATTTGCGTCACGGAAGTTGCATAGACACTAGCGCCAGTTGAACCTCTAGCGTACATTATAATAACTCTATGGTGTAAGTTCGTCTGCTTCTTGCTTTTTTTTTTTTTTTTTTTCAGGCAGCCAATAAGAGCTCGGCGTTCTGACATCATCACAAGTCATGTGACTTGCGATGATGTCAGAATGCCGAGCCCTTATTGGCTGATTGAAAAAAAAAAAAAATAGTGGGTAGACCTCGAGGCATCTAGCATTGAGGTCTACCCACTATCCTTCCAATCCAAGCCAATCCGAGCTCGGCGCCTTTATGACGTCATCGCAACTCCCGCGCAGGAAGCAGACGACTTGCTCCCCGTATTGGCAGAACGAACAGCGAGATCACCTCTTCGCCGATAAAAACGAAAAAACTGGTTGTTTTCGTGCGGTCTGGACCACTAACTATACGGCGAGAGAGAGAGGGAGAGTCCTTGAGCGTGGAGGAGCAATGAACCTCGTCGGAGCACGCGGCATTCCGTAAGCAAGGCGTTGTTCGGGACAATTATTCAAGTTCGGAACGGCACCGCGACGGCGTTGCTCGCTATTAAAACGACCCGCTTATCGAACTGGGTCGCCGCCCTCCCCGTGCCTACCCCCCGTGTTGTTTTCTTTTCCAACCGACTCTTTAAAACGTGGCACGCGCTGGAAGCCGGAGAAATAGCTTTGACCTCTTCCCACTCGCTGGCTAATTGGCTGCCGCCATGCCTTGTCAAACAACTCGACTTTCTGGAGCGGCTATTGCTATATAGAGTGTAGTAGAATCTTGCGATGAGAAAATGGTTTATTGAAAGACGCGGAGGTTAACCGAGCTTGTATACTTAGCGCCATGGGAAAGGGGGGAGAGGGATAAAGGAAGAACCGGTACGTGCGAAGAAAATTTTAAAAATAAACACGCGAAAAAGAATTAATATGTAAAAAAAAAAAGGGAAGTCAAAAGTCAAATTTGGGGGTTTTACGTGCCAAACCAAGGACGGGCACCTGGCACGCCCCAGCGGAGGACTGAGGATTAATTTGAACTACCCGGGGATCTTTTGACGTGCAACCGAAAGCTCGGTTACACGGCGCCTCCTCCGCAATAAGCCTCCGTCAGATTGTGGGCACCTCGGCCGGGATTCGAACCCGCCACATGGGGATCCGTAGACCGGCTCTCTCGCCTCGGAGCCACCGAGGCGGCAGAATTAGGGTTACCACCTTCCTGATAATGAAATGCGGGACACGCTGACCGGGAAAGGGGGGGTCAGTGTCATTACAACTGCGGAATCTAAGAAGGATACATTAGAGGACATGTATTACCACGCACACCACGATATGTGGCTGAAAGCATATTATACGCCTGTACACTGTATTGCGGCCATTAAGCTGAAATAATTCACACCCAGTGATATATATATATATATATTTTTTTTTAAATTTTAATGACAAGTAAGTTATTGAATGTGTCTAAGTATAAAACATCAAAATTGACTGCAACAGAGCTCAATGTATCAAAAGTAAAGAAGAAACTGTAAACCTTCTTTCGGCTTATTGTTTCCTGTCGATATACTCTTACCAACATACTCTTACTCAAATTTAAAGCCCAATGTTTTTGGGTTTTTTTTTTTCTT